ACAAGTGGCCAATCTATCTTACAAACTGGGACATTGCGTTGGGCTTCGCTCAGGCCCTAATCGGCGGTGTTCTCGTGTCAAAACGCTGGCGGCTGCAGCGTATATCGAGCTTCGACCCGTGCAATCTTCGGCTCGAATCCACGGAGCGGCTCTATTGGTTCCTGTACGTTGTCGCCACCAACATCGCGATCGGCGTGACCGTGTGCTACTGGTCGATAGTGTACGACCCGAAAATCCACCACCTAGACCCGCTCAACATTATGCTGCACGTGTGCAACAGCGTGTTGATACTGATCGATTTGTTCGTCACCAGCATACCATTCCGCCTGCGTAACTTCTGGTGGTGTCTGTCGTTCGTGATGTTCTACCTGGTGTTTTCGGTGATCTATTACGCCGCCGGTGGTCTAAACAAGCAAGGCTATCATTACATCTACAAGATCTTGGACTGGAAGAAACCGATGCGTACTGTACTCGTATGCGCCGGCGGTCTCACCTTCGTCACCGTGTTGCATTGCGTCACGTGCATGTTGGCGAACATCCGCGATCGTCTTTACCGCGGGATCATCGGGAAACTGAACAGCAGATCTATGCGAATCACGACACCGGGGGAAACACTGCAACTGCCGACAGGATCGCGGAAGCCGGAAATGGTCTGAGTGGAGCGCGATCTGTTCGAAGGTTGTCGGTTCAACCGAATTTCGGACGGCTTCGGGAAAATCCTGAGTACCTATTATGGAACTCGTCGGAATCGATTCCGATCGGAATAATTCCGTTTCCCCTAGAAAAGACAATAGGAATCTAGGAGTCTAGGAAATAACGGAATAATCCCGTTTCCTCTAGAAAAGACAATAGAAATCTAGGAAATAACGGAATAAATTCGATCGGAATCGATTCCGATCGGAATAATTCCGTTTCCCCTAGAAAAGACAATAGAAGTCTAGGAAATAACGGAATAAATTCGATCAAAATCGATTCCAACGAGTTTCATAATAGGTACCCAGAAAGTTCCGCCTTCTCACTTGCGTGTGCGTTGCGGTGCGTGACGGTGGGTATCGAGGCAGTTAGATGTGATGCGACGAAGTGACGCGACGCGTGCGTCTCAACTGCTCCCCGACGTTATTCCACAAGTAAAACCCACTCGTTTACGAACGGCCGCAATTTAGAAATCCTAGAAATGATTCAACGCATCAATATGATATCTCAGTACCAGTATGTTGTGTCGTGAACGACACAGACGAGTAATTCGCGCGAGGTTCGTGCTCACTGTGTGAGCTGTGTGTCTCTTCGATGGTTCGTCTCTAACGAGACGAAAACTCAGATGCGTGAATGTTGCTCTGCTGATCTAATTCCGATGTGTAATGTCTGATCTCTCAGTCTGCAACTGTCGTGTGTGTTCTCGACAGCGGAACGTCGCTTGTAATCAATCAACCGTATGCGATGTGTATCATAGAAATATCGTAGAAGACGGAACACAGAACAACGCGCAACGGAAAGTGATAACCCTGCAAACGCGCGGATTTTGTCGCTCGTTGTGTGTGTTGAAAATGACGAGTTTGTGCGTGCGCGCATGCGTGCGTGCGTGCGTGCGTGCATGCGTGTACGTAAACTGTGTTGATAAACTTTGTTTTAATTGAAAAACCAAGTTTACATGAATTTCAGTTAAAATGGAATTTAATTGCTACATATGATACGAAAAGTCTCCTTCCTCCGATCGATTGCTATCGATAAAAGATAAAAACGCGTTAATTATGCAAGCATTACGCGCGATCGGATGATATGAATGTTTGCAGGTCCCTACTAGCTGTGACGTTATTCTCTCTTATCACAGATATATATAACGCATGATTAACATACATTACTACGGAAAATGCGTCTGCACATTCACTTGGCCGATACGAATCAAGATTGACCTTATCGTTAAATATGCTAAAAATAGATCAATCATTCGATGACCCATTATATCTCCGAAATTCGACTGTTGACACATTCATGTACCATTGTATTCATATCAAACGAAAGAGATAGGATAGACGCAGTGTACTATCTTGAGGCGAAGTAATTTTAGGTGAGAGAATAAACGCGAGAATACAGCTGCTGAGAAGACACGCCATGCGAAATTAAAATGTACGCGTGCGTGTGATGTAGACAGATTCCTACGGCAATCATTTTAGCGTATCGCGATTCTGATCGCAAAATTCCTAGCTGCTCACGCTTATGAATCGACACGTATATTATAGTGTTTAACGTCCGTCGCATAGTTTTGTCATGCGAGAGTTCCTACGTAGGTAATTTTTTTCTAGCTCACGGATAGCTATCTATATACGCTAGTGATTAATTTATCGAAATCGAGTGATATACGCGTGCTAATAATGTACTTTTAGCGCGTGGTATCATTGATTTGTGCGTGCGTGCGTGTGTGTGTATGTGTGTGTATACACGTGCGCACATTAGAATGTAAAAATATTTCAACATGTCCTTGACACATATCCGGTTTTTATACATTCCATTTGGCCTTTTTCTTTTTTTCTTACGATGATTGTAATATTTATTACCACTAAGTAATTTTTTGTGCATGATAATTAACCACTGCTATTTCCAAAAAATTGTCCAAAGATCTCGTCTAGCGTGATGCGATATCATTGAATGATATTTAAGATTCCTAGTCCCCCAAACGTCGCCAAACTCTTGCTTCGTGACGTCAGATGCGAGAAAGTGCATGCGTTCAAAATCCTTGTGTGCCATTTCCAAGCAAAAAGATATTTGTATGAAAGAATACTTCAGATTGTAACTACGATATACCTCTAAAATACTCTGAACATTATGCTTCTCCTTTAAAAATCAATCAATAGCCGTAAAAAAAAACCGTTATATATGAGTTAGTCATATATGGAATAATTGCACATATGACTGAGCCTTACGATTACAATTTACGATTACGTTCTATAGCTGGTGATTGACTGTCAAGAAAGTCAAGAAAGAAGTATAATGCATAGCTCGGAGCATTTTACTTTTTTATTTGGAAATAGCATGCCAAATTTTCGGCGCGTCGTTTCTCGTTTCTCATGTTCTGACGTTACTATCTAATACTAGCCGTGGCAAGCAGTCCAGAAGTCTCAACGAGTGTAAAAATCTTAAACACGAGTTTGCGCTCATGTAGAATATAATCCGAAACGTCAGACAATGGCAAACATTTAGCAAATTCGTAAATAATACATGGCTTCGAAACGCATGTTTAGCTACTTTTGATAAATGAGCCACTTGCTAGCCACGATAATTTCACCGAGTCTTATCGCAAATGGTAACTCGGACTTGCGACGGTGCGAACTGTGTGCATGGCTATATATATTATAGTCAGACATCTCCTTCAACAGTGAAAAATACGATATTTTTTTATGGAAAATATCAACAATTTATTAATAAAATAAAGATTTTAAAGCGAGGACTATACATGTGTAATACAAATGAATGTCAGGCTGAGGCCAGCTCTTGAATCACAGACAAAGTGTTTAGCGCTTTGTATATACGCTGCAAAGTTACAACCGCTGTGAGTCGCGACGGTTTTTCTCGAGATCTCAATCGTCACCGTCACGTCATTACCATATGATCACTTAGAGAAAAGAAAAACTTTCAAGAAATCTCAATTGCTACCGACCGAATTTTCACTTGAATCGGAATCGAGCAACACCTGATATTTCGCGCTCGTTGCCATTGTCCTGATAATATATCAATCACAACTTTTCTATGAGCAACAGGTTTTCGCAAGGATCATTCGCGCCTAACTGCATCCACTGACACCGACGAGGAGGAGCAAGAGGACGACAACGAAATCATCGTCATGTGGGATGTCATGACCGAGTGTCCATCGTTGAGTTTATCTGCGTATCGTCTTTTTTCAGCCGCAGCACGTCTGATAACATGAGATTTGTACGCGCCGAGCCATGATCCTTGCTCTTGTTCACAGCGAGTATTTCTCGAGTGATTCGTTGTTTATTCATCTTAGGTGTTTCACATGTGTTGCTTTTCGGTAGAATAGCATTGTTGAAGGTCGTCGATAACTTCGGCTTTGGCATATGATGATCCACTGTCATCGTCGAGGATAATGAGGATAAAGCGTTCATATTGATAACGCACAAGTCATTGGTTGTCATCGCCATGGCTGGCTCTTTATTCGCGGTAGTAATGACCACAGCGGCTTCAACGGAAGAGCTCGGGGATGAAGACGAGACGAACGACGACGAAGAAGGCAACGATAACGATGGCGATGGCGATGGCGATGACGATGGCGATGGCGATGGCGATGGCGATGGCGATGGCGATGGCGATGGCGATGGCGATGGCGATGGCGATGGCGATGGCGATGGCGATAATGACTGCGACTGCGATTGCGACTGCGACGACGATGACGATGACGATGGCAACGATAATGACGGCAACGACAGCGGCGACGACGACAGCGGCGACGACGACAGCGGCGGTGATGGCGGCGACGGCGGCGACGACGACGACGACGACGACGACGACGACGACGACGACGACGACGACGACGACGACGACGACGACGACGACGACGACGACGACGACGACGACGACGACGACGACGACGACGACGACGACGACGACGACGACGACGATGACGATGACGATGACGATGACGATGACGATGACGACGACGACGACGACGACGACGACGACGACGACGATGACGGCGGCGGCGACGGCGGCGGCGACGATGGCGATGGCGACGTCGACGACGATTTTGACAACGATGGCAGCGATGGCGATGGCGATGGCGATGACGATGACAACGACACCGATAACGATGATGATGATGATGATGACAGCAATGACGGCGACTGTGGGAGCGGCTGCGGCGGTAAGGTACATGGAACGTAGTCCGTGTTAGTGTCCAACAGTAGATCATTCTTCAGCGTGTCTTCATCGTCGCTGCGTTGCACAATCACAACACGCGTTTCGAGCATATTCTTATGTAGACTCGCCTCGTTCGTGTACAAATACGCGTGCGTTTCAATCGGACGATTATACGTTGTACACAGTTGATCCGTGTGGAAAACACTTGTCAGATCGTGAATTTGAGACAGCTCCTGTTGTGCTTGATCCGGCTGCCATTCAACGTCATTATGGGACGTTACACCGCACGTATCCTTTAGTCGGATCACTTCCATGGATCCTCGACTCGACGACTCGATCGGCTTCGCTCGTAAGTCGCATTGAGATTTTTTCGTCCTCACACACTTCTGGCTATTCACACCGACAGTAGACAGTAGACCGTCGTTTAATTGCACATCGTCATTTGTATTCGTCAGCTGTCTCGTCTTAATCTGATGCTTCTTCATGTGTACATATAAGCTACTTTTGGCAGAAAAGCGTGCGTCGCACACGAAGCAATGGAAGTAACAGCCCTCGGTGTGAATTAATCTGTGTTCCTTCAAGTGTTCGGAGCGCATAAAGGCTTTCCCACAGCCCGATAGATCGCAAATAAACTTGCGCTCATTTGTGTGCTTCTTCTGATGTCGCTTGAGCTTACTAGACGACGGGAAGGACCACTTACAGTCCTGATAGGTACAACGGTAAGGTTTGCAGCCGGTGTGAGAACGTGTGTGCACCTTCAAGCGGCATGGTTTGTCGAACACTTTGCCACATCCGGGCCATAAGCACTTGACATCCACTTCCTTATAACTGTGCGAACGTTGATGAGACGTCAATGCGTTGCTGCTGTAATACCGTTTGCCGCAGCTCTCGTGTTGACACACATACGGCGCGTGACGTTGATCATGCGACTTCATGTGTACCTCCAAAGCCCTTTTGGTCTGAAACTTATCGTCGCAATCAGGGACCTGACAGACGAACCGACTCGTACGGCTGTGCAATTTTGCATGACTCCACAAGTTATAAACCGTGGTGAATCTACGATTGCATCCTTCCACCTTGCATACGTGATCCTTGCGCTTGAGATGCGTCTTCTTGTGCCGTTTCAGCTTGAAGTCGGAGTAGAACGCCCAGGTACATCCATCATGATCGCACTGCAAGATGACGGATGGCGTAAATCAGAGCTCGGCAAAGTTTACAACTTTCGGACGACTTTCGGAAACTACACCTTCTATCTCCCCTTACCGCGCAGCGGATCCAGCGACTGACGGTCGCGGTTCGTGACCTCAGGACCGTTGAGATCATAAGGCGTATCTATGTGGTGCCTACTAAAGATGCGTTCGGGGAGCGCGTCGATCTGCGTTAACGCATCATTCAATCCTTGTACATGTAATGAGCGATAAAGATAGAATAATGCGTGAGCGTTGACAGCACGCTCCTTTAACGCATCTCAAAGGCTGAAAAATAAATGTATCGATACAACTATACTATATGTATAATATTTCGTGCAAACTTGTAAAAACATATACTTGTGTAAGTATATATATATTTTTTTTCTTATATTTTTATAATTAGAAGGTAACATAATAGGTTTCCTCGTCACCCATGACGTACTATTGCCGACGCGTTTTTTTTTTTAAACGCGGCTTTGCGAGCCGCGACCGTCAGTTGCTGGATCCGCTGCGCGGTAAAGGGAGATAGAAGGCGTAGCTTCCGAAAATCGGCCGAAAGTTGTAAACTTTGCCGAGCTCTGGCGTAAATGAAGAAAAAGAGGCAAGGAAAAGAGTCAAAGGAGGGGACAGTGTGATTATGCCTATTGTGATTGTAACAACCGGAGAAATATTCGAGAGTATGTATGTACGTGTGTGTAATTCAAAGCGAGCGGGATACTTGTCAAATATACATACCTTAAATGGCCTGACTCCGTAGTGGGCCAACAAGTGACCTTTAAGGGTATAAAGCCTGCCGAACTGTCTGTTGCAATCGCCTTGTGGACAGAACCACACCTTGTTGTGCTCAGTGACACGTATAGGTTGCAGACTGTCGTCAGTGATGCCCAGTTCTCCTAAGGCTTTGGATATCATGATCTCATACTGATTACCATCTAGATTACCACCGTCGAAACGCTCGACGCTCGACGTACCGTTCCAGACTGCGGTGACGGGATTGTCTATTTTCGGCAGCCTCGGAAAATTACCAGTGGCCTCAATCAATTCCGACGTTTTGCCCTGGTAGACCTGTCGTTCCGTACCAGTATTGATGACGATCTGCGTCGTATTGGAGGTTTTGTCGGTCGATATGGCGACTACAGTCATCACATCGTGTTCAGTTTGGGCATCGCCTCTGTCATTACATATGAGGCTCTTGCCGCTGTTGGCATACCGGTCAAGTCGCTTCTCCAATCGCTCCGACATCTTTCGTCGCTTCTTGATGATACGCGGCTCGAGTTTCACTTGGGTCTTTAGTTTCAATTGCTCCATTATGGCGTCCGGCACTCGAGTAAGTTCTCTCTCTTGCCTCTGTTCTTTTATCACGGTGTTGAATGAGTTCATCTCCATCGGCGCTACAACACCCATCGAAATTTCCGAATGACTTCCCGAATATTGCACTATGGTAGCTTTCCGTTGCAACTTGATGTCTCCCAACCTGGGGTCTATCTGCTCTGCTTTCTTATTCTCACTCCTTTTCTTCTCATTCTTATCCTTCTCTTTGTCTTTTACGCTCAGATCAGTATGTAGCTTGTTGACAGCGTTCTGCGGAGCAGATTTCCCGCAGGTTGTCTCGTCACCGTTTCGCTGCTCCGACTGCTGCTTTCGTAAGACAGCTCCGGCGCGTAACTCAGCAACCTCCTGGTCATGTATCTTCACAACATTTAACGTCGATTGATCACTAGTGGACGATAAGATCTCATCAGCCACCACTGTGTCGTCCGCCAACAGCGTCAACGGATCTAGATGATACAACTGAGAATCTGATATTATGTACTTGTCATCTACCTTCTCGCATGACTCCTCCAGCAACTTTTCGCTTGACAACTCGTCCTGCAATATCGAGTCGTAACAGCTTAGGTTGAGGTCTATCCTCTTATCACTGGCAAGATCGATGTCGATCGACAGACCGTAGGAATCATTTCCCAGAAAGCCGCACGGTGACGATACTTCTTCTCCATCCAGGTATCGATCTACATCCTCAACCACCTTGACATCCAGGTCTATGCTTGTCGGTTCAGTATGCCTCTTGTACCATTTCTCAAAATCAACTGAGAATTTTCCAGTTACCGATGTAATTTCGACGATATCGTCGCTCTTACTGCTTACTGTAGTTTCAGTTGTCGTAGTCTTTGTTGCTGTTTGCAGTTGTTTAACAACTGATGTCCAAGTCTCATCTTTTCTGGCGTTTCGTTCATCTCTCTTATCGGCCATCACCACCAATGTCATCTCTTCCTCTTTCTTCTCCTGCATTTTGTTCTTTGTCCTATGATTGTTCCCAGAGACAAAGAATGTGTCGCAAGACGACGACAATCGTTCCTCGATTTCATACTGGTATTCGCAGAAATCGATGCATTCTTGACTGCCGTGTTGCTGCGATTGCTTCGACATACAAGAAGCAGCAGCAGCAGAGACGGAAACAGTGGCAATCCTTTCTTCTTCTCCTGTTCCTATTCCTGTTCCTGTTCCTGTTCCTGTACCTGCACCTGCATCTGCACCTGCTACTGCTCCTTGTCCTTCTACTTCTCCTCTTCTACAAAACATTAGTTCGCGCCGTAACGGTTAGCACTGCGGAAGCTCATACGAAGCGACGATATCCGACATGTATCATTTCCTTGTGACAAGCTCCATCTCGAGCCCGCGACGAATTGCATGTGCAATTGACCTACATGGCGGGTGTGTGACATGCTCCATTTTTATCCGGTTCTCCTTCGTCCTCTCGAACATTACAACAAGTTGGCACCGGTCTCGTGCAACTTGCACATGCAATTTTCTCTTTTCTCTCTCTCTCTCTCTCTCTCTCTCTCTTTGCCTTGTCTGCGCTTACCTCACACTGAACATTCGCGGTAAACGCATCGAAAATCGTACAGTGCGAGCTTGCACGGGCTTAACGGAGAAACAACATAACCTTACCATGTACAATGTGTGTCTCAGCACAAAGAGGCGAGACGGATGCTTTCAGGGAGCACCATCGCCGTTGTCGGATCAATACAGCGGTTGGATAATCCGAAATTCGTTCAGCAACATCACGACAATAAAGAAAAATTCTCCCCCTTACTTTCCTCTAGCAACCGTAAAAACAGCTCACGAATCTACTCTCGCGTCAAATAATAAAATGTAGATAAAAATTCACACACTCTGAAAAAATGAAACGAACGGTTCGACATGATTCGACACAACAACACAGTTTGCTTGTTTTGTGGCGAGTCTGCCGCAACACTGATCACATACTAGTCACTAGACAACCTTAGTGACATTACAGATGGTGTCAACCCCGTAGCGAGCGACGAATGAGAGAAGCTTCTTACTTAAGAAAAAAAGACTATCAACGGCTTCCCGAGATCGACAGAAAAAGTCGAAAGTCGTCACCTCCACAACAAAAGAGAAAAGTACACTTTGTAACAGTGCAATATTAATGTTCGTTTTTTTATAATAAAGTTTAATTTATACTACGTGGCTGTGTTCACGAATTCCTAAGAGCACGTAATTAGCATTAAAGCACTACAGTTTGCTGTGTTGCGAGCCATCTGACAACGTAGCGAGCGATTTTGTTGATCATGTGATACGTGCACTTGTCTCCGACAGTAGGCCTGTTCGTTTTGTCTGCACTGTTGAACAACTGGTGCAACAAGTTAAAATGAGAAAATCTACGTTTGTCTCACTTTAATGCACCAGTTCAGCAGTGCAGACAAAACGAACAGGCCTAATATGCTTGATGGTAAGTAAATGCATCATCGTATCGACTGACACGTCAAATTTCACGTTAAGCTGTTTGGCCAGATTTCTAAGAACGTTAACATTAAAATTAGTATAAGAGAGTGTAAAGTTTTGTATTAGTGCCTTAGTAGTGTATTAGTACTAGTTTCTAGCTTTATATAGATATATTTCCGATATCTTTTCCCCATTATCTGTTATCATCTACGCTTATTTCGAGCTATAGTTTTATATTTCGGCTACGATACTCCTAAGAGGGCGCTAGCGCACAGCGAAATTCTCTGGTACGTTATATCCCGTAAAGCTCGTATCAGACTGCGGATTGGAATTGAGATTGGATTGAAATTTGACCAATTGGAAAAAAGAACATAATCTCAAATACAGTAAACTTAGCCCTAATTGGTTAAATTTCAATCCAATATTCAAACTCAATCAATACCGACCTAAAGCTATGGGCTTTAGGCCGGTATTCATAAGGCCTGGTCTACAATATGTGTTGTAAGCTTTAAGCCATAAGAATTGACCAATTATAGTCGATTATTTTTGTAATAATCGACTGTGATTCGCCAATTCTTACGGCTTACAACTTACGGCACGTATTGTAGACCAGCCCTAAGCCCTGGTCTACAATAGGTGATTTAAGTTTTAAGCTATAAGAAATTAAGCAACGGCAGTCGATTATTTTCCTCATATTCAATTGTAATTGGTTAATTTTTTTATTGCTTAAAGCTTAAATCACCTGTTGTAGACAAGGACTAATCGGATCTTATATCAGAGAGAAGAAGGAGACTATATATATATATGTAATGTTATATAAAAACACGTAATATATAGATATTGAAGTATATAACATAATATATGAAAATATAATATATAGGGTGTCCCAAAAGTAACGGACTACCGTAATAACTCTTTAGTATTGAAGTTTCAAGGAAAATGATCTGAATAAAAGTTGTAGGGATTTAAGTGAGTTACTTTATGATGACCTTGACTTTGACCTTGATCTCTACTTTCAAGGTCATTTGAAGATCAACTTGCGTTTTTTAAATGGGAACCCTTATGTTTTATTACACTATTTTTTTCTACTAGTTAATTTGAACAACTTTCGTCTAAAATATTCTTTTATTTGTCTAATATTTTTTTAGATATTTGAGGAAAACTTGATAACTTTTTCAATATTTAACTTACGTTATCTCGTTAACTATTTGTCGGAAGAGAAAGTGGTACTAGACTTTCTTGCTTTATTTAGTCTCAAAAATATATTGTTACAATAGCGCCCTGACTTTTGTTAACTTACTGACTTTGGGAAATTTCAAAATCATCAAATTAACAAAAATCAGGACGCTATTGTAACAATATATTCTTGAGATTAAATAAAGCAAGAAAGTTTAGTACCGCTTTTTCTTCCGACAAATAGTTAGCGAGAGACTGAGCCGGCTATGTGTGCGTGCGTGGGAGAAATCAGAAAGAGTCGTGGACATTGGCATCGTAGTTCATGTGCACGGTTGTGCAGAGGGCGCCTCACACTGGGCTCGGCTAAAAGCGGCCCATGACACTTCTCCTTCTTCTCTCTGGCATCTAGCAACTATGTATTGTCCCTCCCTAAACGCAGCTGGAGAATGGCGTATGGGTACATCCTTCTACCTAAAGCCATATACCGAACTGAACTGAACTTTGTGTTGGATGTTCCTAGTCGCATATTGAGAATTGAAGATTCCTATCTGTATTAACGGAAGTCGGTTGACCCCGAGGTCCCCGAGTGCCATTCAGCCAATGTAGTATTACTCCTATATACTACTCCTATCTATATATTCATCGAGTATGTTGCTACGAGACCATCATAACCTCCAATGGCGAAGAGACTGTCAACAGAGAGTGTGGCGCAGTGCGAGAAAACGATATGCCCTTCGCCGGAAGAGTTGAGCGTGATAACCAACAGTATCAGGTGCGAACAATGTGGCCAGATATTTCGGAACAAGCCGCGCTACCAATTGCACAATCTCAAAGTGCATCAGCACAAAAACCTGGATAAAATCGCAAAGGAGAATATACGCTATCACTGTCCGGTGCAATCGTGCATCTACGCCGTCACTACTAAGCGATACTTCAGCACCATGAAGTACTTGAAGCAGGTAATACATCCTTGTAAAAGTACAACAATGACTATATCCGATAGAAGAGTTTGTTTTTCCACAAATTATCTTAAATCGACATTCCTTTTCAAATAGATGTTAAGTGTTAAGTGTTATTGCTGTATAGGATATCTCGCAGCGTCCAATATTTTTTCCTTACTCTTTGTCTTTTTTCATCTTTTTGTCTAATATGGACTTGTGATAATTTATAGAAACTTATAACTAAGCTCTTTGTATTTTGAAGCTCTCAAAATACTTGGTAATTGACAACAGAGAAATATTATCTTTCCAGCATTATCTGAAGGTACACGCGGAAAAGACTTACGCATGCAATTGCTGCGACAAGAGCTTTTCCACTGAAGCTGCCAAGGAAGGACACATGAAGGTTTGCGGTGTAAAATTCACATGCTCCTGCTTGAAGACTTACACTACATATGAAGCGCTGCTCACACATGCAAAGCGATCCTTGCATGCTATCATAACAGATAAATACAAGAGTTCTATGAGGTAAATTTATTTGTATACCTTTTACAGCAAGTGCAACTTATCGATATATTGCATATGTATTTGGACTTGTCCTTACAGACGTAAATCCAAGATCATGAGAATTGTGTTACCAGCTGGAAGGATAAATAAACCTGTGATGATACTACCCAGTTCAGACAAGTCTGGGAAAAATAGCGTGAACATCGGCACTACGACGAAAAGTACATCGGACATTGGCGTGCAGACTGACGATTATAAGAAAAGCCGGAGGATACTGAGTCTGTCAAAGTTCAGCAATAACCACCCGCATTGCAACGCGAAACGTCGAATGTCCAAACAAACACAAACCAACAGTTTTCACAGGGAGAAAAGCACCGGGAAATCGATGGAAACGCAAACGACGGAGGGGTCGCGAGCGATCGGGGATTCGTCGGGAAAGGCGCACAAACGCGCGGCTCGCGGCAGTTGCGCGCTGTCGTCGACGAAACAGCCCGAGCAGCACGTGTTGCTGAAAGAAGATCTCAATCTTGGCGATAACTTCGTGTCGGCCAATCTGTTCCCAGCGAGTCCGTTGCCGCTTCGTCACGACGTCGCTCTGCAGGACTTTTGGGAGGAAAAGAATACATCGGGTACGCAGACGATACCCGAGAAGGATATGTTTGAGGCGTTCAACGACAACGTGACGCAGACAGAATTCGAGACGCTCTACGAACACAGCCGCAATCCTCTCATACAATGCGTACCGAAGAGCAGTGTGGCGTTGATGACGTTACCCTACGTCGAGCCGTCGGTCGTCGAGGGTTACTCGTTCGTCTCCGCCGAGACCGGCATATCGTCTCAGGTGGATCCTCTGTTGACCGCCGCGAAAACGTTTGACGATAAATTCAGCAGCATAGAGACTCAGACCGAGCAGGCGTTCTCACCGTCGTACTTTTACTCCGAGTCCCTGTCGCGGTCGTTTGCTATGAGTTCCAACATCGAGACGCAAACCACGGACAATCTTGACAACATGGAGCAACTGTTGTACAGTAACACGTGCACGCAGACCTGCAATGAGATGTTGCCCTCCGATCTAGGACTGATGTCTAACATACAAACACAGACCGCCTGGTCCCATGACGACAGCACTGTCTCCACCGAGACGCAGACCAAGTCATTGATATGCGAGGCCGGCTGTAATATTCCTATGGGCGCCTGCAAAACTTGGTTGAACACGCAAATCAGTCACACTGAAACGCAGACGGATTTATTGAGTATTTTCGAGGGACTCCAATAACACGCGATACATTCCGATCGTTACTCTATTCTATTCTATTCTGTCCTTTTCCGTTTTAGCATTTCGATTTAGTTCTTGCCCTTTGTGCGCACCTTTTAACTGTGATATTTCTTCTCCAATATGCGTCGCGAATACAAACTTCTCGGTCACTCTCATTGATCATTTATTAGTTTATTGTGATCTTTATACCATGTTCACTGTCATTTGTATCTCGCACTGACCTCTCGATTACTTTCCTGCACAATGATCGTTAAGAAAATATCAACTTGCAGTTAGGTGATAGTCCAGGTTCTATCATCGAGAGAAAAAGAATATTTGAATTTTTTTGGGATACCTGAACTCCTCCCTCGCAAATTGAACTGTTGTATCTTATTCTCTCTTTTTTTTTTAACTCTTCTATTTGGAACCGAGATCCGATTCAAAGTGTCAAATAAAGTTAACGGAGTAAGCACCATAAGTCTCTTGTCTGTTGTTGTGCGCACGTGCGCCTGTTTTGTACGCGTGTTGTAATGCATACAGTCTGTAGAGTAAGAGCGTGCACGGTATAAATGGCAGTTTGCTTCAAATATCGTCCTAGTTTTTTTGTGAGCCGATAGATGAAATCTTTGTCGTGAATGCTTTGTCACAAAAGATTCAGTTGGCGTCAAACTCTAACCTGAGAAACACGTTAACCGCCATGAGTGCCGCATACGCATCGCGCTATGAGGCTGTGTTCCTTTGGTCCCACCCCAAAGGACCAAAAATGTCATATGCAGTGGCTGCTAAATACATAGGAAAGTCAATCGTTCGTCGCTAAGTGAGTTCAGCAATATAAGAAGATCAAAAATGTTGATGACTTGCCAGAACGTGGCTCGATAGGCAAAGTGACGCCGAATATGGGAAAAAAAATTGTGAATTTGTTTAAGCGGAACCCGACCTTAATGCTTAAAATTTATGAGAAGTGTTTGTTGCCGACTGCTGAACGATGTTTCATAAAAAAAAAACAAAGACTGGATCTTACAGGAAGACAACGACCCAAAACACTGCAGCAAGCTTTGTACCGAGTGGAAAGAGCAGTCTGGCATCGTCACACTTGATTGGCCATCGCAGTCGCCAGATGCAAATCCCATTGAAAATGTGTAGGCATATCTCAAGCACAAGCTTCGAGGAAAAAGAGTGTGCACTTTGAAGCAGCTGACACGACAAATTCGTCTCATTTGGAGGTTTTTACCGAACGAATACGCAGTCAACTTAGTGGAAAGTATGCCTCGGAGATGCCAGGCAATTATCAATGCCGATGGTGACTGAACTCATTATTAATAGTATAGCATTTTTCTTCTCATAGAGTACAACAAACCCATGTACTTAAAAATCATTAAAAATAAATTTTTATACACATTAACCCGTGCACGCTCTTACTTTACAGACTACGTGGTTGTTTCATTTGGATCGATCTTGTATTGCAATGTATCAAACACGTCATGAGTGTGTATATGTGTGTGTGTGTGTGTCTGTGCGCGCGCACTCCAGCGCCTACTCCGTATATGTATTTACGTTAAAAAAAAAAAAAAAAAAGTACAAATTATATCGTTATTCTGTAATTTGACAAATTCACTGGATTGTAATCGAAACGCTAAATGTATAATCTGTGTCGCATCTATTTGAAACCTTGCATATCGCATGTGTATATGATATAAAGATATTCTTTCGTCAAAAATATATTCTGGATTATATCATGCGTTATACGTATTACACAATGCACACAAAACACGTCCCTTCCTTCGGTTTCTTCCGTTTGGCTCTGTGTTGCTGCAAGATTTGAGAATTCCAGATACTTTTGAATTCATATTTCTTTTGTTACATTTGCATGTACAATATACAACTAAGAAAATATATTCCTTTGAAAATCGAGGAGAGATCGCGTAGTCACATTGTAAGAGATGTATGGACAACTTCGTGTATGGTGTGTATATGTGTGATAAGTAAGCAGATCTTACAGCCTACTTACAAACACAAAAATACAAAAATATAAGGAATACTTTATAAATAGAATTATATATATATATATATATATATGTGTGTGTATTTATGTGTTCGGGTCTCGGAGTGATCAATCATTTGCGTCGTTGAACTGTATGGGCGGCGGCACACGAATAGAAAATTGGAATTAAATTCTGCGACAAACGCAGATAACAAGATTGTACCGGATGAATGTTTCGTTGCGTCCGCAGCGAGTTGCACAACGTAGTACGCGTTAGGATTTCTATTCTGATTTAATGTAGCTGCATAACGATGCGCGCACAAGAAAAAAATCAATCGACTGTTTATACAACAGAACAATATCATATCCTTACATGTTAGGCTAATCATAAGCCTCAAGCATAATCGCTTGATGCACTTCATGCGCACGCATTATGCGACTATGCGAATCTGTTTGAACGTTCGGTATTAGACACGAAGGATTAAAAGGTGTCTTCGAGCAACAATAATCACGGTGAAACGCTTGACTTGGAGGTATCGACGGGATACATGGAGAAATGACAAAATGAGATAGTGCGAAAATACGAATGTATACAATATATGTGTCCGAGAGAGAGAAAGAGAGAGAGAGAGGAGTCTCATTATACTGCGGGACCGGTGGCATTGTCTTCCTCAAAGTCAGGTAAAAAGTCTTTGGTCCAGTCTTCTATCCTATCCACGTTCTCTAAAGTCGATGCGAGAACTCGTAGATTGTCCACACCGGACATTAGTTGTCTGTGGACAGAGATATAATGGTATCTAACACTCTAATGGTATCTTTGACAGAAGATTCGGTATAGAAAATCGTACACGATTTAAATTTCGTACAATGGAAGTATTGGAAAAAAATTGTGTGTTTAAATTGACTTGGAAACTCACAAAAAGAAACATTACGATTTACAAAGTATATATGTACATATATATATATATACACATACATACAGGGTATCCGTAAAGTCCGACCCGATCTCGGAAACGGCTTTAAATATGGAAAAATATTTCAGACAAAAGTTGTAGGATATTAAGGGGGACATATGATAAAAATATGGACTTGACCTTGAGTGACTTTATCAAGGCCAGGTCAATGTGATCGATGTTTTCTTAAATGGAACCTCCTATTTTTTATTGCATATTCTTATAGCCTTTGTCGAGACGTTTTCAAAACACTACCTATTTTTGTTTTTTACGCAAAATATTCCCAAAATATGAAGCTTCAAAGTTGACATACCGCCGGCATTCGCATTACCCAAAGTGTACCGCGTGGAGGTTGCACGGTCGGATTTACGCCTCTTTTGTGTATGTGTATGTGTGTGCGTATCTGTGTGCGTGTGTGTATCACAGTAGAGATAAGGGTCCCACGGTTCGTCACTTTCATAGTATTTTTTGACTCCAACCCTCTCCACTGTGTGTTGTGGCTCTAAAAAGGACCAATTTTGTGTGTATATGTTTCTTCAGTTAGAATTCCCCCCCCCCTCTCTCTCTCTCTCTCTTCACCATTCTTCTTCTCCTTCCCCTTACATTAGTTATTTTCTTGCCGTTACACACACACACACACACACGAGACATAAATCCGACCGTGCAACCTTCACGCGGTACACCTTGGGTAATGCGAATGCCGGCGGTATGTCAACTTTGAAGCTCCATATCTTGGGAATGGCTTGCGTAAAAAACAAAAATAGGTAGCGTTTTGAAAACGTCTCGACAAAGGTTACAAGAATATGCAATAAAAAATAGGAGGTTCCATTTAAGAAAACATCGATCACATTGACCTGGCTTTGATAAAGTCACTCAAGGTCAAGTCCATATTTTTATCATGTGTCCCCCTTAATATCCTACAACTTTTGTCTGAAATATTTTTTTCATATTTAAAGCCGTTTTCGAGATCCAGGGGTAGGGTCGGACTTTACAGATACCCTGTATATACAGAGCTATACATGTATATATACAGCTATATATAGAGAACTACGAAAAACTGGATTAGAATTTTTTAAACAGTTTGGAAATGTAATAAGCTTCTCTAATTCTGTCGAGCGTTACAGATTATGTAAAAAGCAAACTTCGGCAAAAATATTTCCTCACCTGAGAGATACTTCGGCCGATGATGCAGCCGCGAATAAATCCCGGGCGAGTCTCCTGACGGTATTATTTGTATTAGCAGCAGTTGTCTTCGGCTCCCTTTGTCCTGCTGCTGCAACACCGGCCCGAAGTTCACTGTTTTCCAGTCGTAAGAGGGATATCTCTGTCTGAATGAAGCGATCGAATCGCTACGTTAGATTCATATCTCATATTTTACATTGTTGTTATTCAAGTATATGCTAACCGTTAAGGCTTTAATCTCCTTTTTCAATGATGTAACAGTAGTCTCGGCGCTGACCGCTCTCTTCTGCAAAATACAAGCATACTCAATGCTACGCAATTGTTTCACAATGTTACACACTACGTATAACGCGTCGATGCTGTCGACGACGCTACTAGAGATTTTACATGAAGAAAAAAAAACTCCCTTCCTATACAATAAATTGCAATTATTAACGCAAAATTGGCATATTTATTTCCATATACTCACTGTACTCTGCTTCAAGTTATCCTCAACTTGTTCCATTGCCTTCTCCAAGTGTGCAGCCTCCTCGTGCTCGATTTGTTCCCTCGACAACAGTTCTACCTCCAACGAGCGAATCCTGCAATTAAACGATCATCATATACCAATTGCACGGACAAATAAGAAATCGAAAATTTGGTAAACTATTCGTTATTATTACCTATCTGTCTTCTCGCTAATTTGTCTTCGTGCCACATCCAACTCATGACGTAACCTTTCGTTTTCGAGCAAAAGCTGCAACGCATAGTTCAATATTTCACTATTCCCGTTATCGACATTTTATTCGTTAGAATGTCTGAAATAACTTTACTCTTCTTTCCATGGATTCCGCCATGACCGGACCGGGTTCTGGATCCGTCGTCCTGTTATGTATTGGACCATCACTTAAGAAATCCGGCAAAGACTTATGAACACTCGTCTCACCTCCTGACGGTCCGTCTCGTGTGGTCGCATTTACATTCGGATTTGATTCGTTAGGTAGAGGCAGTGGCAAATCAAACGGAAAATCTACAAAGGTAAAGCGACTATTGTTTTTGCGAATCTTCGAAAGGGACTTAATTCATAAACTCAATTCATAATTCGATAGCTTAATTCATAAAATGTACCTGTACAAATACCTGTTGGCTCGGGGCGATGAACAGGCACACCGATGGGACATCTTTCAAAGGTGGATAAACCTAAGTGATTCGAATGCATCACACTTGATGTCGAGTGATCTCTGTGAGGCAGACCCTTGTCCAGCATGCCGGTGAGGTCAAACGGCAAGTCAGATAGTACATTGGAATCATCCCTCTTGCTACTTTCGTTCCGTAATCGCGACTGCCTTTGTTCCATACTGTTTAAGGCAAAATCCGGAAGATTATCCACATCAAGCAGCACCTGCTGATTGGCTGGCTGAGCATGATTCAGATAACACTGCTCTATGACCAAGTGGTCCTGCACAAAGTCTGGCAGTTCTGTCGGATTTCGGGAGGAGTAGACACCAGTCTCCTTAGCCTCGTGGCTGCCGGGACTCGACGCTGGTGTGTAATATACCTTCGGTCGCGCTCCGGTATTGTGATAATTGGTAGTCTGCGTGCCATTCTTCAAGAAGACCTTGAAACTAAAGGGATTGCTCTCGCGACGTTCTCGACTCTCCTGACCTGCGAAACGTCGCGATTGACAATTAGACTTTCGTTTCGTAGAGGAAACTTACGTAAGATACAACGTAAAAAACAACAATTCGCTCGGTGGTGATAGAGAGCGAGGAACATTCCTAACCTGTCGACATCGGCTGTTCGACATCGTTGCGGTTCCTAACGAAACGATCCGACGGCGACGAGTTTCTACGCCCGCTGCGACAAACGGCGGCCACTTCCTCGTCGGATGAGGAGGATGTCGAAAAGACGACCTCGGTCTCGGCGATGTGGTGCTTCGAGCTTTTCCGTAATGACGACGACGACGACGGCGACGATCGATGGCAAGACTCGTCGTGACTCGTTGTCTTTTTACGGTGCGCCATAATTCGCGTCCACGCTGCGACGCGAGCACGGCCGAATCATTCAATTGAACGCGTGTCAGAGTTCCGTCGGATTCGTTCTTGCTCCGAGTGCGCACCTAACGTTTGTCACTTTGCGCTTACGATCACTGCTGATCGTCGGATCAGGTCTGGTCAGGTAACGTTAGGTAAGCACAATATGCGCGCACCAGATGGCGGGACCGGTAGCACACACGCGCAATTTGTGGTGTCACACGAATTGTGTGCTCGATGAGTTTTATTTATAAATATCGCCAATGAATGAATTATCGTTACTGAGGAAATTTAGTTTAAAGCTTTTGTTCCCGTTTTAAACAGATAAATTTTCATGACGCATTTGGTAAATGATTACGGTAATTGACGGTTCCTTATAGTCAGATATTTGTAAGAATATGACTATTTCATGTTATGAGAGATCAAACACGTATTTATGTAATATTTTTTAAGTGTAACTTTTTTAGAGACTTAAATTATTGATGCAACCTGGTCATTCGTACATGTATTATTGCATACTTTTCGCGCGCGTTCGTAACACACTTTATTTATATTTTTTCAATTCGTATATTTATATACAAGAACTATGGGAAGATCATCATGTGTGAGAGGGCAAACAAAATGGCCCATTAGCTCAGTTGGTTAGAGCGTCGTGCTAATAACGCGAAGGTCGCGGGTTCGATCCCCTCATGGGCCAAGTTTTTTATCTTTTATTAACAACAAACGCATGAAAGTATTTTTTCTTTTATAATTTAAGATTAAAATAAATGTAGTTCACACACATAGTTCCATCAAAAATAACGTACCAAATAATATGTCGGCTAAAACGCCCAGCATCGACGAGATATTAAATAAGACATGAGGACTGTCAAACACCTATATTCATAGTCAGGCCTTATATTTAAGACTTCTTTAAGTTTATCTTCAGATGGTCTGTAGCATCTAAAGATGGATATAAGGAGGCTTCAAATATACGGCCTGATTATGAACGAGTATAAGGCAGGTATAGTCGAGTCTTATATTTAAGACCGTCTTAAGTTCACCTTCAGATACCTCATAGCCAATGAAGTAATTTGTACAGAATCTAAAGATGAACTTAAGGCTGCATTCCGACATTCACTGCCAGCACTGAAATTCTATGGTATACGTGACATAAACTATGTATTGCTCAGTATTGGCAATGAATTTCGGAACGCAGCCGAAGACGGTCTTAAATTTAATTAAATTATCTTAAATTATCTTAAATTTAATTCTCGCTCTCGTGTTCGCTCAGCGACGCGAGCGAGAATATCTTTCCCTCTTTCTCGCTGTCGTTCTCGCTCAGCAACGCGAGCGAGGCTAAAACCCAAAACACAATGCTAGGCGATAGCGATGGCGTTAGGTAATAACAATAGCGATAGCATATCAATAGAAACAGAAAATTCCGACACTAGGGAATGCATATGCCAATGCAGAATGGAACACGGAACAGGCAACAGCGACAAAATTTCCGACGAGTTGGAATTCTGTATCTATTGTCTTGTAGCCTACCAATCATAGCGTTCAGATTTTTGCGAATTCGCTAGCGACTTAAGAAGCTTGCTCAAAGTAGCATCGTGTAAATCACCCTTATATTTCCCTCTTTCTCGCTCTCATTCTCGCTCAGCGACGCGAGAGCGAGGCTAATTCTTTCTGGGCTATAATCTGACAAGGGCTACTGCCAAACTTGGGGTCACTGATTTTGACGAGCTTTGGCAGAAATATAGTATAGGTCTAGCAAAAGTTACTGTTAACCGGAGACGATGCAACACTCAAGCATTCGGGAGAAATTACAAATTTAAATTTCGCGATTTTAAGTATGCGCTGTTATTCCAACATTTGCAGAGTTACTTCCAAATGACGATGTGACGCAGCAGACTGGACGCGGTGCTGGTACTCGCTAGGTTGCGTGTTCGCGCCTACTTATGTCTTGTTATTTTTTTAAATTGTTTTTTTTTTCTTCTTACGAATAAAAATATATATATTACAGAAGAATGCGCTGAGCGGACACGAGAGCGAGAAGGAGGGAATGATGTCTCTCTGTCGCTCGGCGCGCCGATTGTCGAGCGCGTGGTCCACACGGATAGACTGAGCCGGCTATGGTGCGTGGTGGGGGAAATCAGAAAAGAGTCGTGGACATTGGCATCGTAGTTCATGCGCACGGTTGTACAGAGGGCGCCTCACACTGGGCTCGGCTAAAAGCGGCCCATGACACCTCTCCTTCTCTCTGTTTGCGCTTGCCCGGCTGATCTGGTTGGTCAGCTTGGCTAGATTCGTCTCGTCCGTTCGGTTGGGTCAATCGACCTTCCCGTTCGCGACCAGCGACGACGATCAGCGGTTAGTGGTTTCAACGCAACCAACGAAAGTGGGTTGCGTCCGAATTCGTTCGCGTACGTAAGTTATTGCGCGCACGCTCCCGCGCATATCAGTCGCGTCTGGATATCATACTTTACAGATAACATATTGCAAAACGGTGTGAAGTGCGTTTTGCTTGGAATCGTGTTGAAAACCGCGCCGCTAACGAATCATCCGGCGTTCATTCCGATTTCAACTCAAGAACACAAATCGAACTCTGTCTGTCATCTGACGGTAAAATTTTGTCACCGATACGTTTCAGATTTCTTTTCGTGGCCATCGCGCGACAGATGTATGTATGTACACCGCGTACCTCTCGACCGTGTTATTGATTTCTACCTAGGAATGGGGAGGGGGAGAGAGAGAGAGAGACACGTAATCGAAAGCACACACGCACACGTGACACACACACCTCCCCACACTGACACTCACGTACACGCTGTCATCCGGCTCTTGTGTCCATCTGCATGTCATCACTTCGACAAAACAGTCAAGTCTCTAATCATATTTTATCGTCGTCGACTAAACGATTAAAAAACCGCTTCTCGAAGTTCTAAAAGCTCCTAAATGCTCGATAATACGTCGGCGAAAATCACATAATATCGAGGATATCGAGAATGGAAAATCCTATGTCACACGATATGAATTTTGAAGAAAACTCTTGACACTTGAAGCTAAAAATCATTGCATCGTAGCAGTATCTACTCTCGCGCGCTTGCTCGCGGTTTTAAACCTGTCGAAAATTCACATTAATTCGCAGTAATTATCCAACGTACGTAGAACGTTTAGAAGCTCGTACAAAGTCCTTGATATGATTAACTCTTGTTGGTGCAAGATCTCTTTCCTTCCTGTGAGAAAGAAAAGACAGGGAAAGATGAGTACGCGTCGTTGAAACGTAAGGGAAATATGGCATGACAAATGTATAGGGACAAAGTGTTGAATAGTTAACTTTTAACGTGGACAAAAGGAATATTTATCCGTTTCATTCTCGACGAAACTCTAGACGAAAGAAATCGATAAGTGTAGAGCTCTGCTGTATATAGCGAACCGTTATTAACAATAATGTGTGCACACCATATATTAGGATATGAGCTTCATTGTGAATAACTGACGACTGAATACGAAGACATTTGAAGGGAGAAAAAGAGAGGGAGAATTATTTATTTAGTCGACCCAATCGAAACAGAGACCGCGAGCTCCTTATTAATATTCTTTGTCGAATGATTTCAAAACAGGTGGTTAATTAGTCGGCATTCTTTCGTGTTTGTAAATTCATTGATGCAAATGATTAAGACGTTAAAGTTCTCGCGCACAACGAACTCGAATGACGACACGAATGCAACTGTAAAACCTTGATAGAGCAATCAAATTGACATTTATCCTAGCGATTGTCATCTCGGGGTCGTTGTCTTCCTTAAGGTATCATGAGCGTACTAAACTGTTAAAAACTCGACGTTGCAGAGCGCGTTTCTTTTTTTCAGTTATTGACACGATATTGACATTTAAAGACTTGTGTTCCCATATCTTAAACGTACACTTTGATATAGAAATTACGCGTTATCAGTTGTGTCGCTGCATCCGTTAACACGTTTCTTTTTCTCTTTTTTGTTCTTTTTTTTTTTTTTTACAAATATAAAGCGATCTGAGAGTGAGCTGTTCAGTGTATTAATTATGTCCGAATTTGATATAAATCTCTATAAATAATTGGCGTCAAATTTATCAAACCACTGTCACAGCTACTTTTTTTGTTTTTGCTTCCTCGTGTCTCTCTGTCTGTCGATGTTTTGGGAAAAGTTGCACGAGTCTACACAATTGTGCTCTCGCATGCATTCACGATCTCGAAATTCCTCACAATAGAAGCTTAGTTTCTTGAACGCCCGAAATATCTCAGTCGCCTGACAAATATTTAATTTCAAAATTAAGCATCCGAGCGACAGGGGCGGATTAGGCCCGCTAGCCCCGCGCGTATTTACAAAGGCGGACCAATGGCAAGTGATCTATAAAAAGTAGAACATTGTTACTTAATCGGATTGTCAATCGGTGGACCGGCACGTCAAATAAGTCCGCGGGAAATTTATGAAAACTCGAGGTCGTTCCGTTTCGTTTAGCCTTCGCGTGACCAAAGAAATCACTTTGAACGCGAGATTTGACGACTAAAGCAACGAGAGACCGATCGAACGAGAAAGAAATATGTATCGCAGGGTATCTGCGTACGTTTAACTCTTTCGCAAAGAATATACTTGTAGAATCTTTCGTTAAAAAACAGGAAGAAAGAAACATCCAGGGAGTGGTCGCAAAAGGTACCATAAACATGTCCCTAAACGACACCAAATCGTCCCAAATCATCCTAAATCGTCAGAATGAGGCAAACACCGTTGGCGATCCCGAGGGGGACTAGCTGGCTAAGCTATTTACAACATTATCGCGTCGACACTGAAAACTGCGTTTTTGTCGTTTAGCTCGTCGTCGTGTGGACGGTGTGTCGGTCGGAGGAGAAGACGATGCGTCGCACCGTTCCCATTTTCCCTGGCGAACCCACCGAACCGGACTAGAGAAGAGAAAAGAAGAGAAGAGAGGAGAGGAGTGGAGAGGAGAAGAGAAGAGAAGAGAAGAGAAGAGAAGAGAAGAAAAGAGTAGAGAGGAGAGGAGAGGAGAGGAGAGCAGGAGAGAGCACGGAGAGAGGAGGTCGCAAATCGATAGTGCGCGCGCGATTTCGGCGACTCAGCTGGTGGTGCGTCCATCCCCCGCTTCTCCTCACCGTGAGCATTTTCCCTTCCTGATCAGCCAGGAAAAGCCAAGGAGAAGAAACGTTGAGGAGAGCGCGGGCACCCTCATTCGCGATGAGAGACACCGGCAACCAGGCCAAGTACGAGCAGCTCTTGGACGACGCCGGTCTCGAGATCCGCAACGACGGCAAAGAGCGCAACGACGACGAGAATGCGACACTAAAGGAGGTGAGAGCGTGATCAGAGGTGTGAATCGGGACATTTTTAATTGAAAAGAAGAAGAAATTACTTCCGGATTAAAGAACCGAGATTTACGGCTTAAAAAAGAAAGAAAAAGGAAAGAAAAAACGGAGAATATCGCGTTAACAAAACGAGGAAAAAAAATTGCTTAAATCTATATCTTTAAAAATACCCATTGCATACACACACGCACGCAGAAGCTACATAAAGTTTACAAACGGGTTTATAGCTGGCAACCTTTGTTTCTTTTTTCTTTAGATATAAATTCGAGATATTTTACGAGTAAACTCTTGTCTTACAAGTAAACCGTTGACTGATTGTTTGTGCTGTAATATCGCATATTGAACAAGTAAAATATCGAGTAGACATAGTAGAAAAAAAAGTAATAGTAAAAGTAATAAAGAGAAGTAATATACGACTGATATCGTCTAGGGTCAAAGTTCTTCGCCAAACGTTATGTCTGATTGTTTTGATATCGATCGAACGGTTCGTTAACACACGCCAACGCATATCAGACGCGGGAAATTTCCCTCTGATGCAACAAATGACTCGCTTCCTTGCTGAAAATCGTACAATCGTGAACAATCGTACAATCTTCGAGATCATTCTATCGAGATGTTATCGCGACTCATTATTATATTTCGATCGAATATTCCGAAAGATATCATTATTCACAGCCGAACTTGCACATGAGCTAAGCAAACGACAGGGCAACGACTGTACTTCAGGGCTGTACAATTTAACATTATAAATGCATTATATTATCGGACGGAATTGTCGGAATTTTTAACGTTGTACTAATGTACTATTACACGTGTTTCATCGGAGAATTTAATAATAATTTCCGTATTCTTAACTTATTTTCAAATCAAACGTTCTCTATACATTCTGCACACTTCGCCACAGACACAAAAAAGATCTCAATTTTGCTGCACAATGCAACGTTAAATGCGAACATAAAAAATCGATACCGACATATTACCTAGTCAATGTTTTGATTGAAGTGCAAAGCGGATCCGGATTGAAGCGGATAATTGTCACGATGAACAAACGGAAACCACATAGATCGTGACACATATAGCTTATGTAAGCGAAACTCATGCATTACAACGTGCAAGGACATGTAAACAAGAACATTTCCGACAGATTGCAAATAACAACAACGGCTGCATAATCGCGACGTGAAGCGTCACGATCACCTGTCAGATTACGATGTGGTTCGATCGACCTATTTTTCAAAAGCCGCTTACGCAGTTGAGAACCATCGGTGTTTAGGTTTCACACACATGAGTCGTCCGGTTTAGATTGCATCTTTCGCTTTATTTCATTTTAAATGCAAAAAATGTAGCTGAATTCGCGCGCGCGTATGATTGATGCTTTCGTATTGATTTAGCAAGAAACATGCGTCAACGATGCGAAAACATGCGAAAACGGAATCAAATCGTGTCGTATACATATTCTTCCCCTTCCTTCTTTTCTCCTTCGTTATTACAGATATATATCTATTTTTGTCGCGCGATACGCGAATGTGCACGCGGCTTAAAGATTGGAACCGGCTGGCCATCTTTAAAGCCGCGCGATTGACATGTCGATGTCAATACGAAGGAATTTCGTGCGATAGTTTATTGATTCGGACTATTCGGAGCGTCGTGCTTCGTACGTGTAGTACATGTGTACAATGCCATGATTCGCCTTGCATGGCGTCGTTTATCTGGATTTCCTCCTTTTTTTATGTGACACGTACGGCGAAATTATCAACGACCTCCTCTTTCAGTAACCGTCGATGCTCGTTTGGAAGTAACAAATAATAAATCGGTTACTTAAAATTGCTCGTCGCGAGGTTAGTATTCAAGAGCGCGCAACTTTTAAGACACTATTTATTCAATTATCGGTCGAATCATCGGTCTCCCAACGGTCGTTTTCTTCGATCATGCAGCATTGACTCATGTTTCGTGTTTGCATATTGGATACCCGTGTGACATTCCTCGCGCACAATTGCGGGACATAATATATGATGCTAATGTAATGATATTTTTGACATGTCGAGAAATAAATAAAAATATATCGTGATGTGTGTGTGTGTGTAAAATAAAAAAAAAAGGACTTCCTTAACTTCATTTAATGCTGCTCCGATTTCATTAGGAAATTGGTTTTATACTTTGTAGTCTGGTCTACTTTAAATTTACCATGAATCCTGCAGCAATTTTACTTGTATGTTCATCATTTAAGTTGAAATAAGTTTATATTTAAGCTCAATGAAACAATGGACAAAAATGAAATAAAGAAAAAGAGTAGAAAAAGTACAATCAGGACAAAACTACTTTTATGAAAGTTAGTCAACTCCTAAGCTTTGCTTCTACGTGTGCCTCCAAACCGATCTTAATATCTTACTTTTAATCTATGATATTACCAATAATAGTTGATTCACAAACAGTGAAGTGCATTGTGACATCATTTCAGGATAAGGAACACAGCTCCGAGATGTGGTTGACTACTGCAGAATCAGCTAGCCTTGGGGCCGAAGAAGTAGCAGCCAGATTACATGTCGACGTTCGAACTGGACTCAGGTGGCAAGAGGCTGACCACAGAAGGCAACTGGCTGGCTTTAATGAATTCACTGTCAAGGAGGAGGATCCACCATGGAAGAAATATATCGAACAAGTATGTCTCCTATGCTTTGTTTGCGTTATTTTACTTTTGTGAAAAGGTATGTGTATTTTCCAAAAGACCATTGTAAGAAATATGAAGAAAGTGATTATAAAACATACATGATACAACTTAGATATAAGTTTGCGTATGGTCAGTTATTTTATCGCTTATATTATTTTAGTTCAAAAATCCACTGATTCTTCTTCTACTTGCCTCTGCATTTGTCAGTGTGTGCATGAAGCAATTTGACGATGCTGTCAGTATTACCGTGGTGAGTACATATTTAAGTTTTTCCATAGATTCTAAAGAATTTTAGCAGACACCATGTAACCATTGCTTGTGATATATATTCCTTTGTAGGCTATCATAATAGTGGTGACAGTTGCATTTGTACAAGAATACCGATCGGAGAAATCTTTAGAAGAATTGAATAAATTGGTACCACCAATATGCCACTGGTAAATAGATTCGTGCTTTTTTTTCATTGGGTGCTTCATTAAAGATTCATAAGTTAAAGAGCACACAATGGTAATGAATATTAGTCTTCACTTTTGAGATGGCATGTACCTAGATTCATGTGTCCTTTAGAAGTATGGTCTTTGGAGGAGATACACTAGCCCTTTTAAACGGAGCATTCATTTCCTTTCTTAATGAAGAAGATATAATATGCCGTTGTGCAAACCATATAGGCCATAAAGGTGAAATTTACTTCCACGAAAAATCTCGTAAATACGAGTTTTGTAGCGCTTTTCGATTTAGAACGATCGATTTTCAATGGAGTACCAATTTCAAATCAAATATCTACAACGGCAAAGTAGCACCTTCCTGCAACTTTTCTCTTTGAAATATTCCCTGAATATTCCCAACATCTTATTTTGTTGTGTTAAAGTAAATTTACATTGTCATCTGATCTTAATACTTTGTTCGCAGCTTGAGAGAGGGCCATTTAGAGACATTTCTAGCGCGTAATTTAGTTCCTGGTGATATTGTATATTTAAATATTGGGGATAGAGTACCCGCCGATATCCGTATATTCGAGGCCATAGATTTAGCGATCGATGAGAGTAGTTTTACCGGTGAGACCGAGCCGGCGCAAAAGTCAACGGCTCCTCTGCTAAAGACTAATGGGCTAACGTCGAAGAGAAATATCGTCTTCATGGGCACCCTGGTACGCTGCGGTAACGGCAAGGTATGTTCTGTTCAAACCTGAATTCTTGGGAATGACTGCGCTTTACCATCAACTTATGTTACAATCGCGCGATACAGGGAATTGTAGTGAATACGGGAGAAAAGAGTGAATTTGGGGAAGTTTTCTCAATGATGCAGGCCGAGGAGGCGCCAAAGACTCCACTACAGCGAAGCATGGACATTTTAGGTACACAGCTGTCTTTCTATTCGTTCTGCATTATCGGTATCATCATGCTGCTGGGATGGATCCAAGGTAAGGCTATCCTTGAGATGTTTACCATTGGTGTAAGCTTGGCGGTAGCCGCCATACCGGAGGGCTTACCTATCGTCGTAACCGTGACGCTGGCGCTGGGAGTTATGAGAATGGTCAAAAGAAAGGCGATTGTAAAGAAGCTACCAACTGTCGAGACTCTCGGTAAGTCAAAATTAAAAGCTAGAAATTATCTTCACACACACACACACACACACACACGCACACGCGCACACACACACACACACACACACACACACACACATACACACACACACGCACGCAGCACAAGCGAATATATTCTACAGCATAATGCAGATATTTATTTTGTATTTATTTTATATTTACTTGTTTGAAAGTATGGGTGACGCCAACCTCTGAGTGACGCAAACATAATGAGAAAACGAGGTTTATTCGTAGGCTGTGTAAATGTAATATGCTCCGACAAAACCGGCACTATAACAAAGAATGAGATGACCGCGACCGTTCTCGTGACGTCGGAGGGTTACATCGCCGATGTTACCGGAGCAGGATACAACGGTCTGGGTGAAGTGCGAATAAGGAAATGCGATAGTGTCGACCTTGCACGCGCCGCTATCAGTAATATGTTGGAGATAGGTTGCGTATGTAACAACGCTATCATACAAAATGATACTCTGCTGGGACAACCAACGGAAGGCGCGCTGATAGCTGTGGCTATAAAATTTGGAATGTACGGTGTTGCTGATAGGTATTTGAGATTACAAGAATATCCATTTTCTTCGGAACAGAAAATGATGGCTGTGAAATGCACACCAAAATTTGGTGAGGTGAATATGATTATTGATACTCGAGTTTTGTGCACATCGAAATGCTCTGTGTTTCTTTCGGTATATGTATTGCTATTTTCTTTCGCTCCTCCTCCTCCCCCGCCCTCTTCCTTCTTTTTTTTGCCGGGACACCGAGGAAATTTTTAACTGTTTTAACTGTTGTTAACTGATACTTATCTCGAGTCAACGTTGAGCGCAGACACCACTGCTTTAATTATTAATTCGATAATTCTACATTTCAGAATAGACAAGAAATCTACTTTGTGAAGGGCGCGCTAGAGAAGATTCTGCCACAGTGCACGAAATATTACGAGAACGGTCAAGTGTATCCTCTCAGCCAGAAGAAAGATCAGGAATTCTTGACGGAGGCATATGACATCGGTCAACAAGGATTGAGAGGTATCGTTATCTCGACCGTAGGAAGCGATAAATCATTGTGAATCTTAGATTTATGCCGGTCTCACTTGATATATACATGCAATAATTTATGGTGTTGCAGTAATCGGTCTAGCACGTGGCTCTTCATTGCAAGATTTGATTTATGTCGGTCTAGTCGGCATCTGCGATCCACCGAGACCGCATGTGCGCGAATCCATCGGTATTCTGATAAATAGCGGCGTTAAGGTGAAAATGGTAACGGGGGATGCAAAGGAAACCGCGGCTGCAATAGGTACATAAGTGTATATTATAAAATATCAACATTTTGTTTATGACCAAGTTTTGTTACGGACTTTGTTTTTCCTTTCTTTTCTGTACATCTTTTAGCTAGCATGATCGGTCTGGACACGCTTCACAGTCGGTTGTTGTCGGGGGATGAAATCGATATGATGTCCGAACATCAGCTGGAACAGTGTATCAATAACGTCAGCGTGTTCTACCGCGTGACACCAAAGCACAAACTTTGTATCGTAAAAGCCTTGCAAAGGAATGGCAATATAGTGGGTATGACCGGTGACGGTGTAAACGACGGGGTTGCTCTGAAAAAAGCGGATATAGGTATCGCCATGGGGAAAAACGGCACTGACGTGTGCAAGGAAGCGGCTGATATGATTTTAGTCGATGATGACTTCGGTACAATCATGTGAGTACTTGATTTTCGGGTAATTTCAGTACATTAGTAAGTTAGAAATGATGTAACTAACATTCTTCGGCACATTCTCGGTTGCGGCGAATTTTTCCAATACTCTCTTATCAGCTCTTCATATCGATTATATTTACTATAATTCCATGATTTTGATCTAATTTTAGCGCGGCAATCGAAGAGGGAAAAGGAATCTTTCACAATATCCGAAACTTTGTGAGATTTCAATTGAGCACTAGCATCGCTGCACTTTCTTTGATAGCTCTCGCAACATTGATGAGTATACCGAATCCATTGAACGCCATGCAAATACTATGGATCAACATTATTATGGACGGTCCACCCGCTCAAAGGTTAAATATTGTTCGACGCAGTCGTTGCTTCGTCGTTTCACTGAATATCCGTATCTCTTGTACACTTCTTACCTTTCTTGCGCAGCCTCGGAGTCGAGCCAGTCGATAAGGATGTTTTAAAACAGAAGCCACGGAATACAAAGGAACCGATGATCACGCGTCACCTCATAATTAACGTTTTATTATCAGCTACTATCATTATTCTCGGCACTTTGTGGGTGTACAACAGAGAGGTAAATGTTTTCCAAGAGAAGGAATCTACATTTAATATGTGAGAAATAAAATCATCATACACAGAAATTGAGATAACTCGCCAGGTACCTCGTCTTACATATATATATATATATATATATATATATACACTTCACGTATTTTCAGATGGTTAATGGGAATACCGCGCGAGACACCACCATGACATTTACTTGCTTCGTATTCTTCGACATGTTTAATGCGCTTAGCTGTAGGTCACAGGTGAGATGCCGCATTCCATTTCCATTTCCAATCTCTCAGTCGATGATATTATAATCGGCAGATAATCGCGATATCTCGCATAACGATGATTCTCCAGACAATGATTCATTTTAGACAAAATCCATATTTACAATCGGTCTGTGGAGTAACAAAATGTTCCTGGTAGCAGTAACGTTATCTGTCATCGGGCAGATGTTCGTCATCTATTTCCCACCGTTGCAGAGAATATTCCAGACCGAGGCTCTTACGGCGAAAGGTAACAACGTGTATTTGTAAAAAATAATATTATGTAGCACGCGCGCGCGCGCGCGCGTGTGTGTGTGTGTGTGTGTGTGTGTGTGTGTATGCGAACATTTCTTTCCGTTGTCTTTAAACGGCAATCTACTTTCAGATCTCTTATTCTTGGCAGCGTTAACGTCGAGCGTCTTTGTAATCAGCGAGTTTAAGAAATTTTTAGAGAGGCAACTTCAGAAACGTCGCAATGTTAACAACAGCCAGTATTACAACAAATTCGAAATGGATTTTGTATGACAGTTACAGTCTGCCGAAAACAAGGCGGCGGACAAAGATCATAATGAATAAATATCGGGCATCGATACCGCTCGCTCAGCGCGGCCAGTCGTTCGTTCGTTCGTTCGTTCGTTCGTTCGTTCGTTCGTTCGTTCGTTCGTTAATCAACATTATTTCACGTTAACATACTCGATTATGCTTGCACCATTCGTAATCTCACATGTTACGCACCTATCACACGAGAATAATAATAGTGACACTTCTATTGACACGTATTGATTCGCAGTGATTGCGGTTTTTTTTTTCCATTTACAAATTGTTTGGCTCTATTTTTCGGCACATCGTACAAAGTATCGTTTCAATGGTAGGTTACATAAACTGTAGCTATTTAGACTATATTCCACTATTGTCTCTGCATTAAACTCTATTCCAATTGAGATAGAAACCTGTGGATCGACGTGTGATCAAACTAAAGTGTGTTAAAGTCTACTAATAGTGCACTGGATGTATTCTAACGTGCGTTCTCTACGTACATAAATCTCTTCTAGAGAAATCATGTTGATGGCACCTGCATATTTGCAATGTGCCAATATATTACAAACTTTATAGTTGCCATCGAAAATTTAGTTGCATCAGCCATTCACGGTTGATTTAACTGCCAATGATTAAATTATCCATCAATTTCCTATCACTATTCTTCCGCAATACGACGCAGTTGAAAGAACATTTACTGCTCGATAGGTTGTACGCTAACAAAACATAGCAGACTAGAAATGTGTTGGAAAAAAAGTAGATAGTTGTAGACTGTTGCGCTTTTATATGCGTGTGTGTCACATAATTTTGTGAATAAGTTAATGGTCCTGCGATATAGAAATTCTCCTTAGAGTGAATGCAGTCTATGATTACGAGCTATCATTTGATAATGTTAACGTTTCAAAATTTAACAAAACTAATTAGAAAGCGATATTATTAATGTCCCCGTAAAAACGATCAACTGTATCATCTTGGAAAGAAAATCTGCAGGAACACGCGACAGTTGCAGGCAGTTCTCAATTGAAATAGAGTTCATTGTATCATTATGATAAGAGATTACGAATTAACGTAATAGATGATAGCGGCGCTACTGCACATTCCACGTACGTTTGATAGATCAACGACTTTTAACGATATATTATGTATCTATGGTGTAGCCGTAAATTGCAGTCCAAAGCAATGTTTGCACCGTATCATCTTAATCATTCTTATCTAATACTTTTTTTCTAAAGATACTGCGACGGTTTGTATGTAAGACCTACTACTAAGAGGAAAGGGAAAAGCGTCGATAGTTCGCCATCCGCGCGCTTATCATTCACTGTCGGTCACTTCGTGCTAGAAGAAGAAGAGAGAGAGAAAGAGAGAGAAGGGGACGGGAGAGAGCGAATCATGCAGCATTTTACCGAGTATATAAAAAGATAGAAACGAACGATAATTCAAACCAGACATACAAATCGATTGCATTTAAGAGATACAGTTGTAATCGGTAAAAATAAATGATCCTACAGTGTTCTTTAATTCGTATATTGTATTACGTATTCGTATAACTATGTATATTTTCAACGGCAAGGCGAGCATGGTAATTTGCCTTGCCATTATGTCCAACTTAATTAATGATACATACATACATTTTTGGTAAGACACAATGAAATATGCAATTCAATCGCGACATCATTCTATCGTCAACGAAAAGATACTCGTATGCTATGTCATATAGGTATACATAGAAGTATACACAGAAACTGAGGAAAAGAAATCACATATATATATATATATTTTTTTTTTTATATCTTTGTTAGCGACGCAATTGCATCACAACGTGCTATGAATATTGTCAATGTTAATGATGATGCATCTCGAAATACCAATATTATTCTTCTAGATAATATATTTGGCAAATTTAGTCTATACAACGTGATTAATCGACAATCGAGACTTGCAAGAGGCCTCTGAATTCATTACGTACAACAACATAAATATTAATTAATAGTTTCATCGTTCAATGAATCCCCTCAAGCGCACTGTAAGTTTTATATTGATATAAATCAGGCCCACCATAACCGTACAATAGTTTTCCCTTGCCGTTCTCGTCGTAGTACGGATAACGATATTTCGGTCTGCAAACACAAAGATAAAAATAATCAATGCTATAACGCAATTATTTAGCCACCCTTTTTAACGGCGGCTTTTTCTCGAAATGACTTTTTTTCACGTCAGGCGAAGTTACTCGAGTGTTTCGTACGATATAAATATTTGATGACTTTCACTAGCGAGACTCTTACACAAGACCAAAGTACAGTCTCTTCCCTCCATCGACATTCAAAAAGTATGACATTTCGGGAATTTCTGTTACCTTATACATACATATGTATTACGTATTAACAGATAATGCAATATCAAAATACTAATCAATGATCAGCTTGCCTCGCTCACCGTTCAAAATATTGGAAATTTGGTGCTCTAAGTTCCGGGATCGTAGCTGCGCTTTTGTTGACTGAAGCAAAGAAGAGAACGACAAACGTCGTTAACGCGATCACAGTCAGCCGCTGCAAATAGATGGATGTACTTCACTACGAGTGACCACAAAATTAAAAGGAAAGTTTGCCTCACATTTTATCCGACGCGCGCAACGTGATATTAAGATGCAGATTTTCGCCAGAGATTCAGAGACCAAATCGATTCAGGGAATAGAATATGTTGCTCGTGTGGTTGCGCGCAACACCTGCATCGTCTCGCTTCACTTATAGGAAACTTACGCAACTCACCATGGCAGATGATCCCAAGTTAAGCGCGCTCGCGATTGATCGCGGGAAAGCTTTGGATAGATTAGCGTCGAGCAAAGAGACGTCTCCTTGGAAAAAGAATCGTCACGTGTGTAAGTCGAAATTGAACCGTGTGAATTAAATTTTAATCTGACCGATCGATATGACAACACGAGTTGATAACATAGCACGAACTGCTATACCTTATGTGACTAAGCCTGATCTGCGCGTCGAGAGACCCATTCTGACCTTATTCGCTCCCCTACTACCTCGTTCTCTCTTGGACATTGTAAAGTGAAAGTCCCAAGCTTCTTTGCTCAACTTTTTCTCGAACATGTTGCGCAAATCGCATCGATGAGCCTTGTTCCCGAATTTGATGGAAATGCTCGCCATAATTTAACGACTTCGTGTTAAATAAAAGCTGCGGAGAAGAGAAGAAGGAAGATGAAATTTCCCATAGCCTTTGGTTGTCGACCGTCGATCGGTCACACGATCGAGGTATATTGTTTATTTTTATTTATCCTTTTAATTACAAAATATTTTGAACTCATTCAGTGGAAACGGTCAAAAGGGATTACTAAGATATCAAGTTATTAATCGAATTTAGTGTAACAATCTGTCGAGAAAGTAATTTCGCCCTGAAATATACTTGGCTTATTTATTCCACGCGGCGGCGATCAGGAGTGCGTGTTGCATTTAGAAAGTTCATCACTCATCAATCGCAGCATCTCGTAAACATTTCATCGATAATTTGCGACCCTTTCGATGAAACTTGTTCAATTATCCACGAGCTTCCCCCATGGTCCCTTATATCCGATGCCCATTCCGATTTTTGCTATCGCAGTCTCTCCGAAACGTCCGTTTTCCTGCTCGTACCTGACTCTTCTCTGTTTGCCAACTTCCGGATCGAAATCCCACTCTGTTTTCTGCGTGAGAAAAAGAACGTTGATGAACGTCCATGCGAACAATGACGCATCTTAATTAATCTCACCTCAAAATACAAATAGATTTGCATTGCACGCTACGCTCACCTGATGCGTAACAGGCACGCCAGCGATGTTGTGTTGTATCAGATCGTGTATAAGCCTGAAAACCGGATCCGCGGTCGACACGATTATTTCGCTGTGAAACAACAATATCGCCAACAAAGCTGTGATCTGCAAGAGAAGAAAAAGTCCGGAGAGTAGTGTGATATCTGCACGAGTCTGAATCTGTATATCAGACTCGGTTCAATTTTTTTCAAATTGAAATAGAAAGAACGCGCGCGTCTCGGCACGTAGCATCAACCAGGGGAGAGCAGCATTCTCCGGTAAGATATCCGGCGATATCTCGTTACTGCTCAAGGTTACTCAAAGGTATTTCGGTATCACATAGTATGAAGCGAAGAGCGACTTGTATGTACCAACAACTGGTTCTGACCCATGACTCGTCCGGACCTGATTCTACGATCGATCGTGCAATCCAGCAATGGTATCGTCACCGACGTAGAATGACAACTATCCTGCCACGTTTACTCCTGGTGCGCTTATACCGGCACGAGCGTATGAATGCATACGCGACACGGCCTGTCGCAATACATTGGTAGTGAAAGTAAAAAATTCCAACGACTTATAATGACGTGCGCGAGTTCGAAAAACCGCGCGTCGACGCGCATCGTTCCATGAATGACAATTTGTCGTTTATCGCGTTCGATTCGATTTCCCCGCGGGAATTTTTATTCGAATCACGATACACATACACACACATACTCTCTCTCTCTCTCTCTCTCTCTCTCAATCAGAGAGAGAGAGAGAGAGAGAGAGAGAGAGAGAAAGAATTATCAAGGCCCACGAGACATAAAAGCCATGTTATATCGCCACGCTATGTATTGTTTTCTCGGACAGCTCGCAATGACGAGTACAACTCGACCGACACGTATTGACAAGGTGCTTCTAACAATCGCTCTTTGCGCGGTAAGTAAATCGACGCGAGATACGCGAGTTAATATACGCGCCTCGAGAACTCTCTCACTCGTATCAAGGACTTAAAAATTTCATCACGAATAATTTCTATAGATTATTATTGTTCAACATGTGTCGTAACTCGCTGTGTGAGTTTTCAGGGAAAATTCATCCTACTAAAAGATTAGATTCTCTATCGCTCGTCGACAAACGAAAACTATCCTCGGTAAATAATTTGTAAAGTTCGCACACAGTCGTTTCGCCGCCTGACATTCTTCTGCTGATCATAACGAAAGCACTTTTGTCACGTCTTTAGAGCGGCGCATGGTGCGCTAGCGACGGCACATTGACGCGAAACGCTCGGACAATCGACTCGTCGTCGTTTCTCATGTGGCCGCGAGTGTTTCGCGATCTCTGGACTAGTCGAACCAAACTCTGGGAATGGTCCAAGAATGGTGCTGTAAGTCTCGCACGTTTCACGAGCACCTTGAAAACCCCCATGCACATCGAGTTCGGACCTGAGGACGGGAAACGTGCCGCAGTAACTTATCAGCGGCGATACGGATACCGCGGAGAGTGGCTCATCGAGCAGCTGGGAAATGGTCTTGGTCCTGGTTTAGCTTCGCTGTATAGTCAATCTGTGCCCAACACCTTTCTAACGCCGCCTCTGTCATCCACTCGCACGTGATAGCCATTTCTTTCGAACGGTTCTTACTGCCCTTGCTTTCAGTTTTGCTCACTTGATGCTAACCGGATCATTTGTCTCTGGTCGATTTATTCCAAGATCTCTATATAATCAGATATCTATATAAAGTAATTGCGTAGTGCCTTGGGTTCTAGTCTAGTCTAGTCTTACCAATATTTTCTATCTTGACAGTTATAAAAGAGATATCGAGCACGAATGAGTGAGTGTACCGTGTAAGAGTAATACCGACGACAAATATGCATAAAGTTTATATCGATTCAATTGAATACGTTAGCTTCATAACCGGTAAGAATAGTATCCACGTGCTCTTAAAGGGCAAGAATAATCCTCGAGTATAAAATTGCAATTCTGCAGAAGAAGACGTTATTATTTATTTCATATACATGAGTCTCGAGAAACCGTTGTTAGACAAAGGTATATATATTTTCATCTTGTTACGCACGAAGACAAATGTGACAAAATATTCCAAATTGTAAAATATCATTACATATGTGTGCGCACGCGCGCGTGCATATATGAGCGGGAACGATGCAAAGTTCCATGCATGAAGAACATACAAGTATTTACAGAGACCACACTTTCACGTAATCCACTTTGAGCGCCGTTGGCATCTGCCATGTGGGGTACCAGAGATCCTTCGCACGATAGAAATTGTACATTGCCTGTAGAGCACAAGGCAACAAGGAATTAATTATCGTATCGTGAATATCGAGAAATTGAATCTCAAGTATTAAATGGAAAATGTTAAGCGCACCTTCGCCTCGACATTTCGCCACGGCTGGACGTAACCGTTACTGGTAGAGTGATCCGCGAATTCGTGAATGCCACCCACAGCCACGCCTAGAGTTAAGTATGACTGCAAAACAGATTATACGATTAAGATTCGACGATAGAGATCATGAATGAAAGATAATGATTATGCGAACGACTCAGATCAATTAACGATCATTTCGCGGCAAGGTAAAATCGTGCATAAGAATCGCAGGTAACTCTCGACGCAGATGCAATAAATATCAATTTTTTTTTCCTGATTACTTATTCAGAAGAGACCGATAAACTGCCTGCTAAACAGGTCATTATTATAAATAAATATATATTATGTCAGACTTTGCTGTAAAATATTCTGTATAAACCTCTATGAATAAAAATAAATAAATAAATAAAGAAAAAACATAAAACATGTGCATACGTGTGTGTGTTTGGGTATACACGAGGTATCCAAGAATAATTTTTACAGAGCTCGTGGAGACATAGATCGGATCAAGACAAACATAAAAATCTCATTTTGCGATACTCGCAATAATTATTGAGTTATTGATTACAGAAATCTGATGCGTGAGCATGCGCCGAGATGGATAATTGGAGAAACGTCGCAGATACTTGGGCTACGAGCTCTGTAAAAATTGTTCTGAGACCCCCCCTTCTGGGAAAATTGTTCACACACCCTGTGTATGTGTGTATTTACACACACACACACACATATACAGGGTGATCCGAAATTCTCGCATTCGGAGTACAGGACATGATATTTTATGCTAAAACAAACAACTTTTTCCTTTAGCAAAATTGTGTCCAAGTAGTTTTTGCAGAAGAGCGTGTTAAAGTTAACGAATAACCGATCTTGTCTGTGTAGCATTCAGGATCGGCGCCTTACTCGCGTGTACCTAGTCAGTGTTCAGTAATCAGTGTCAGATTAGTATTCATAAGTAATGTCTTTTAAGACGCTTATATGACTCTGTTGTGATTAATTTACGACACCTTAAAACTGTACTTAAGACAATCTTAAATAATAAGAATTAACTACGAACAATATCGGGATTTGACTTTCTTCCGTATTATATTGCTTAAATAATGAAAAATTAATAAAATAAGTACTGCCTTTATTTTTTACATAATAAATGAATAAAAAATTATTTGATTGCACAATATCATCTGAAAATAAAAATAAATGTGAATAGTAATATGCTTTGAAAATTGTGAAATCCCGATATTGTTTATAATTGATTCTTATTATTTAAAATTGTCTTAAGTACAGTCTTAAGATGTCGTAAACTAATCACAACAGAGCCATATGAGCGTCTTAAAAGACATTACTTATGAATACTAATCACTGACTAGGTACACGCGAGTGAGGCGCGCGCGTCGACCCTGAGTGCTACACAGACAGGAGCAGTTATTCGTTAACTTTAACACGCTCTTCTGCAAAAACTACTTGTCGGGCGCAATTTTGCTAAAGGAAAAAGTGGTTTGTTTTAGTATAAAGTATCATGTCCTGTACTCCGAATGCGGGAATTTCGGATCGCCCTATATATATATATATATATATATATATATATATATATATAGAGAGAGAGAGAGAGAGAGAGAGAGAGAGAGAGAGAAGCAGAGGAAGGAAGAATCACACATTTACGGCTTTCAATAGGAGAATCTTGAAGTCGCTTACCCGTTTGGCGAATGCCCCATCTACGATTTGCTCGCCGTATTGAACATTGTCGACCTTTACGATGATAAGACCGCTCTTCCACTCAATCTCGAAGATATGGTAATCATCCGACCAGAGCTTACCCGACGATCTTTTAGGCAGCTTTGAATGACTGTCAGTCGGTCCGTTCTTGTCATTCACAGAAGTAACCAATCCACCAGCGTGCAATATATGACCACTGACATCCTTGTTATCGCTAGTTTTCAGCTCCTCGTTACCCGTGGACGACGCGATCCTGATCTCACGGTACAACCCGTGCTCCTGCTCGCTTTCGGAGCTCCTCAGGGTAATAACTGTAGACAAAAATATTGTACGATGTGTAAAGGAAAAAAAAACTAAAAGAAATAAGGAAACAACTAGTATGTCTCATTTTTTAACAATAATCTTTTAATCAAGGAATCACATTCATCATCATCAAGGAATCATAATTAAGGAAAAACATTTTCCTCACTCGAATACATTAATAATAATATATTAATATTCAAATAGACGATGTCGTCACCTTCGCGCACGACTCAACGCGATAAACTTACCAGGATATACCCAATCTCCACGCGGCAACTTGGCTCGTATTTCGATGCGGCCGAACAAAAACTCGAACTTGCCCTTAGTGTCTAGAGACCCCGTAATTACAGGCGGCAAGATGTACGAACCGGCAGCTTGGCGCTGACACTCTTCCGTATCAATCTGGCCTGTGCAACTAAAAATACATACAATTATTGTATGTCGGGAGACGTATTCCGAGAAAAGTCCAAATATCAAACTATTACGTGACTTCGAGAGAAACGTCTATTTTGTATCTATCTATCAATTTTCTTTCTTCATCTTTGTTTCCTTTTTCTTTTCTTTCCAATAGGTAGAGTCGCAGAGGAAATATGTACACAACATAACTGTGGTTTTTTATATAGAATCACTTAGCTTTTTTCTCATAAATCGATTCAATTCTGTCTACGTGCAAAAGTACCGAAGATTGTTGAAAAGTGGATATTTTACAAGATATTTCATATTTTATGCTGAAAAATATCGAAATCATGTGCAAAATATCTCAGATTCTCCAAGATTTCATAAAGAAAAAAAAATAAAAGAAAACGTAGTTTGACTCTGTTATATTTCTTTTAAAATTTCATCTTAAAAAGAGAATGAGAAAGAGAGAGAGAGAAACTTGAAGTCGCATAATTTCTCCGTTCAATGAATAACTTTTAGAGTGATTCTTGAAAACAAATTAGCAAAGAGCATCTCTTTTAATTCGGCATTTGCAAGTCCGCTTACTGCTCCAAGATCAATCTTCCTTGCGTGACGAAATCCTTGCCGAATTTATCATTGGTCAGGATCGGCTTGATACGTACACGTCCGTCGCTCACGTCCGTTACATCATCGGTCATATAGACAGCAAACTCGTAATCCTGTCAACGGAAAAACAGCGCGATAATTTCTTTTGCGATCGGTAATACGCGATTATTGATTGAAAGATGTCTCCTGATAACGGTCCTGATGACGTACCGGCGGACCAGAGAAACGTCGATTCAAATTCCAGTTTGTGTTATCAAGACTGTCGAAATTGTCCTCAAACAAGAGCTGACGCGGACAAGCTTGTTGTCGTTCGTCATTCTTGCCGAAGAACCATGTCGGTGATTTTGTTGTGCAGTTATGCTGTATCTTGTCGGTGATATGCAACGTACCATCGTAATTGTAAAAGTCTGGAAATCATGGCAGATTATTTTTGAGAATTTTAACCTCCTAGTTAACTTTTAAACGTCAACCAACGTTGGGATAAATATAATAACCGGTTAGTTAATGTTAATCACGGCTCATTGAGTTCCTCCATTGGATACTCACCAACAATGCGATACGACTGATCAATTTTATTGTAGCCGAGTCCCTGATATACAACGTGGACCCAATAATAGATGATGTCGTCCCTCCTCAATACAATACCTCGGTCCTCGAAGGTCCATCGTCCGTCGCGAACCTTAAGGATGTCCTTCGCGATGTGTCCTGCTTCCAGACCATTGAAGTCCTGGTTAAAATTTATGTGAAAGGCCACCAAGGTGATTCCTTGCTCGTCTGTATAAAAAGAAAAATACCTCGATTAAAACGCGATCTTATAATTTCGATTAATAATCGAACAATGTGATATTTGATCTATCTAAAAAGTTTATTCCACACATGCGTGTGAGTTCTACATAAAGATTGTGTGTATACATATGTGTATATATTAACGTATTATATTATATTGTATGTACATGTATGTTGAAATAATACAAATAATTATAATCAGTGATCAACAAATAGTCAATTTCAAAAGTAATCATCTTACCAGGAATGGACAAGCGCAATCCAGTAGGATAGAGCGGTTCTACCGTGGTTGCCGGAGGTTCGTAAGCATGATTCTCGCAAATATTCACGACAAGTATTGCAAACGCGACCAGACATAGTTTCATGAACGAAGAACACACAGTCATCTCGACACGACGATATGTGCTCGATGTTCTTAATTAATAAGTCCCCTTATCGTCTTCGATTTCTTGCTGTCTGCGTCAATCTACCAACCCGATCTTCGTTCCTCGTCTTGTCGTCGTCTTTTAATATCGAATCTTCGAAGGACGACCAGTCTTTTTGATACCAAGGTGGGTAAGTGAAGCAGGAAAAGGAGGAGAAGGAAGTAGAGGAGGAGAAGGAGAAGGAGGAAGTGGACGAGGAGGAGGTGATGGTGGTGGTAGAGATGGAAAAGGATATGGACGAGACGACTAAAAAGAATTAGAGATTCCAAGTAGAGTCGAACAATATATGACCGACAATCGCACACCGCTGACTGATTCATATAACGCCTCTTCTATTTTCCTCTCTTTCGTGAAGATAAAAAACCGGATTGCAAATGTATACGTCAATGTATCGAGATTATGTATATATGTGTGAGAAACTAGTTTCCTCATTCGTTTATCTTTTCAAGATGTTTATGACTCGTCTCGTTGAGATCTGAAACGTGTCCGTTGATAGATACGCCGTAATTTCTTTCGTTATCTACAAACGCGCACGCCATGCACTTTTATGTTGCCTTGGATAATTTTTGTTTGACCGGTGTCACGACGATCATTGATTGCATAACCATCTGTTTCTCGAGCGTTTAAAGAAGAATTTTGCGTCTCTCCACGGTAAAAACAAAAGTAGGAGCAAAATAATTCAATCGTTTTTCTCTACCGAAACTTTATTGTCTTCTCTTATTGCATGCATTACACTGCCTTGGAGAGAACACCGCGCTGCTTTTTCAATTTTTCTTCTTTCTAATAGTAATTGACATATACGAGAAACAATGTATACATTCGCCATGAAATGTCATTCGCAGTCCCGCCCGTGAGATGGGCTTATTTAAATACTCAACGAGAGACGTTGGATGCGATGTTATCCGTGTAAAAAATTCTCGAGATAGTTTAGGACGTTGGAATGATTTTTTTTTCTTTCAATATTTAAATCAACACTCGAAATTTTCATTACGTTATCTGGACAATTAATGACGTTTTCTTTTTTTTTCTTTTTGGATTTCACGTCCATCTTCCTTCCCCTTATCGCTCGCTTATGGTTCTTTAACCGACAAACAAGGCACTCTATTCTCTCTATTCTATCTTTCCAAATTTTTTTACATGTTTATATTCCTTATATTCTTCCTTATGTATCGTTATGCGCTATAACGCCAACAAAAATAAGCAAATGGCAAATATAATTTCCGACGTATCATAATGTGACCTTAATATCGTCACGATTGTTTCGAAAAAGAAATCAATTTTGAGCGACAATTCAAATGAAACTTAAATGACAAAGGCAATTACTATTAAGATAATTTGTAAATTTATAACATTTTTTACATTAATTCTTACATTAATTTTTATAAAATTAACCAAAATTGTTACCATGTATACCATATATATATATATAACTCTGCAAAAGTTGCAGAGTGAAGAATGCCTGATTACCTATTGCAACTTTTGCTTCACCTCATCAGGTATACGATTCAAATACCACTGATGAGACTGGCCAGGTGCTGTAGCTAACACGCCTCTCACATTTGCATACGTCGTTTCTGGATTGTACGGATAACGTTCGCCGTAAAGATCGGTCAAAACGCCACCGATGGAACGAAGAACGGCCTCAGGCGCGCATGTATCCCATCTCTTGCAGCCGCGGCTGGCGAACACGTACGCGTGAGCTTTACCTTCCAGTAGGAGAATTACCTGCGAACCGAAATAGATAGATGATGTCTCGATGGTCGAAATGGCTCACAATCGGATGCACACAAGTAACAGGCATATGTTACAGTGTGATTTTGAACAATCCAGGATATCTACATAATCCACGATTACATAGAGTAGAGACCAAAGACTAGATTGGTAATGTTGTACATTACCAGCGAGTTATTAATAACATATTGCACAATAATAATATTATTATTACAACAATTGCATTATTATTAATGCCGAAATAGACTGAAATAAATTATGCTAATCAAAGTACCTTATGTCCAGCACCACCTACACGTACTATGTCGTCAGGATTCAACGAACTTATGGCGCTCTGTACAATGCCGTCGGAATGCGAACTGAGAGAATGAATGATATGATAATTAATTCATTTAAGATATCAAAACATACATTTTGATTTGTAAGATATTTTGAAATTCTTTTTGCTACCGTGTAGTCGTGATTATTCTTTTCCCTTCCGGAGGTGGTTTCGGCGCGAATCCACCAAATCCGGCACCATCGATACCCCATAATGTACGGCCGAGCGAACCGCTTTTGTCATTCTTGTAATATGGTTGATGTATTACACCACCGATTGCTGTTGTTCCGATTGCTATGCCAACCAACACAGTAACATGCTCCACTAGTCCTTGAGTGTACTCTGCTGTACCTGTGAAACAAATTTTCATCTTATGAGCAATGCCTAGTCTTGATTCACACTAATGTTCATCAAAGAGTATCTTGAAGTGATTATTCTATTAGGGTCAACAATATTCTTCTCCGAATTCAAGCAGCAGTGCTATTACCATCCAGAGGGTCCACCCAAATGCATACATCCTTGGGATTAATATCCTCTAGATGCACCGGTAGCTTTAGCTTCAACACTTCTTGATCTGCCTCTGTAACGATCCACTCGGATGGTACTACGCAACTGGATGGTTCCTCCTCACCGATAATCGTGATGTTTGGAAACTGTTTGCTCAAAGAAGCTATGATGCACTTCTGGGCGGAACGATCTGCTTCCGTTTGCAAGTCGTTTTTGCCTTTTTCCACTATATTTAATCCGCCTTTACTCAAAACGTCTCGTATTATCTTGCCAGCTTGCACCGTGACGGACACCGAAGATGCCATTATACGCGTTAATAGAGCTACGCTTTGAGCCATTTTACGAGTCGCTTCGTATTAGCAATGTTGACAAATATCACTGGTGACTACTGCTGACATCACCGAATCTCTTGTATCTTGTCTTTTCGCAGCACCTACGAATTTGATATTTCTCCGAGATAAATAGCTCCTGAACACCCCTGAAAAGTAACGAAAATGTAGAAAATGTTAATTCGTTGACAGAAAATATCGTTTTTGAATTAAAATAATAAATTGTATACCACAGCATACGCGAGTCAAGATGGTAACAGTTAAAACTAAACTTTTGTCGTTGAAATTGAACTAAAATAACATTCTATACGCATCTAATCGCAGTCTTGTACTCAATCTTAAATACGGCACTTGGTATGTTGTATGTTTAAATTACAGATTTAAATAAAGAATATAGTGTGCAATTCTTTTAAGATATAGTATGCAAGTTTCTTGATTCCTCACAGGTACCTGAGATAAGGCTGCGACACGAGAAAGACACATACGCCACGTTCACATTAATACGCAATGGATTTGTTCGATTTTAACTGTACTTTCGGCCTCTACAGCGAGACAGACATGTATTTGAGTGTGAAAGTAAATAAAAAAGAAATGACATAATGCAGAGAGTTCAAGTAAAATAAGCCCAATATGATTTATCGTATGACTTTACTAGGATTAATTAGGTTAGGTTGTGTCAGATTTGGTTAGTTTGAGTTTTAACGACGGTTTGTATTATACGTAGTAGTTGTATAGTAATCATGAACTCGCTTGAATGACTAATGGATTATTCATTGTAGCACAATATAATTTTACAAATGTTAACGTCTCTACGACTAATCGCTCATCAATTACTTCAATTTGAGCAACAATTTTCTATTACGAACAGCGTTATGACGACGGTTATAAAATGATTATAAAGCTAACCCCAACGTGCTCGTGAGGAAGGAAAAAGAAAGAAACGTGAAGTACATAATTGCGCGCGTGCGTGTGTGTGTGTGTATGTGCACGGTAAGATGAAAGTTACATTTATACACATACATGTATATTGATAATGCAAAGTTTTTTATCATAAGTCAAGTTTTTCATCACAATTTTTCTCACAAATCTTTTGGAATTTCATCAATATCAAATATATTATATTAATGTTGCTCCAAATTTGTGTTGCAGTTATTGTTCCTACTTCACTGCATCACACAAGATTATTTCTTAATGTTTTCAATATCCTCCTTTCCTGGAAATTGAATATAAAATGTTATGCAAAAGCTTTTTATTTATGGCAAATACCAACTTATTGAAGAGAAGTAAACGTTTTTTAGATGTTAAGCGTTACATTATGATAAGTAGAAATGCACACACAGATTCTGAAAAGTCAGAAAACAATGATATAAAGAAGCAGAACAAAATGATTAAAAAAACAAAGTCAAAAGAAGTGCAAACAAATAAAAAAAATACAAAAAAGAGCAGTAATCAACGTTTCATTGAGTATTCAGACAATCTTGATCTGAAAATAATACATATGCATCCAAATGTATTGATGAAAACAGTTGGAAATGATAGAAATTTATTATACTTGATTGATAATCATGCGGCTGCGGAATTTGCTTCTATGATCAAAGATGATTTGTTAAAAGATACATGCTTTGTTGCTGAATTGAATCCTGGCGTTGGCATGTTAACAACAGAATTATTGAAAGCTGATATACCGTTGATCCATTTGTACGAAGAAAACAAGGTATTTGATCCAATATTGGATAGTCTAAGCTATACTTATCCAGGCAGATTAGATCGAAGAAGATTCAACCTCCTTAAGATAAACATTCTATTACACATTGATAAGATAACAAATAGAGATGAGATGCAAAAGGTTTTTCAAGGAGTAGAAACTAAGAGGTGGGAAAACACCTGTATGCAAGTGATAGGCATGACTAGTACCATGAAATTTATCAGACATGTTGTATACAGTCTATTGTTCCGTAATTCATTCATGACCTATGGCAGGACTGTTTTCTACATGGCAATATCTCCAACCATGTGGCATGTTAGTATGTGCTTCGTTTTACTTTTCTGCTTATCTTGTTAATTCCTTCAAAGCATGTTATTATTTGCTATTACTTGTATATTTAATTGTTCACTTGAAAGCACAACTTTACTTAAAAGCGTTACTTTAAAGCACAACTACTTTTGACTGGAAGTACTAATAAGCATATAATTTAAAATGATTATATTTTAGAAATGCACATGTGATAACAAACAGAATACCATGTACACTACATTGAAGGTACTGTTTCAACTAATGTTTGATTACAAGCTACTAGGAAAATTGAAGAGAAAAGCTTTCCTACCTTGGCCAATGAAAAGAAAGAAAAAAAGAAGAGGACATAGAAATGAGATATTGGACGAGTTGGATTACAATGAAATGTTTGTTGTGAAACTTGAACCAAAGGGTGACATGTACTCGATATTGTCGCAAGAAGATTGGATAATATTTTGGTATTTCGTTAGACACACTATGCGCAGACGCAGCAACAGAGTGATACTTGAAATTGAGTGAGTAACAACTTATTGCTTTATTGTCATGGAAGATATAAAGTGCAACATCGTCTCATTGTACTAGTGCCAACATGCTTCTCTTTGTTCTTAGAAAATGGATACCAGACAGCGGAGTGAAGATAATAGCACAATTCAATCACACGATATTCACAGAATTCGGTGATTTAACACCTGATGAATTTCTAAAACTTTTTAAGGAATTTCAATCGTGGCCGGAGTATAAAACGTCTAGCTTTCTCGATTCCATGAAGGACGCTCTGAGTATGTTCGACGAACCGGCAGTTCTACAACTTTATGCTAAACAGAACAATATGCAAGACCAATCTTAACTATGTTGTGTTTTTTCACGAGTACGTCCGTAATAGATAGTAATGTTTTGTACTTTATTCGAGCGTTTTATCACAGAAATCAGATGTAAATATTATCATGATCGGTGCGTATATAAAACGTATGTGCCGTTTGCACGTATCTCATTTGTGATTCGACGAGAAGCTGCATATGGCACATCGCAACAGAAATATTTAGGAATAAAATTCTTCGCTCATCCACATCTCATAACGCTTATTTTTAATGTATGAATGATTTAATCGCTTTTAAGAAGATTGCAATTTTTCTTAGAATTTCTCATCGACTTCCCTTCCTGTTCATCGTTCATTTCACGCGCGCGCACGTACACATATACAGCTTTCTCACAAATTGGACCGCGTATGCAAACTCATACTAATGTATTGGTAAAGATTATCACTGGTCACTGGTGGTATGTTCTTTTCTTTTCTCTGACACTGGTTAGCCTTGAAGCATCGTCGCAGTCACGTTATATCGGTTTGGTGTAATTGAACGTTTCTGAAAGGAACGTCTTAGAATATCTCAAGCATCTTGGAATATCTTCAGCATCTCGGTTGTGGCCGACATAAGCGGTATATTAAATACATTTATCTTTACTGAAAAGAAAAAGGAGAGAGAGAGGCCAGCAAAAATAGTCGACATCGAACAAGGAATCGACAAGGAAAAACATCAGATTCATCGGAATCTACATCGCCGTGCACTTCGAAGATAACAGTATAACCGTCAAACAACAAAAATGAAGTGCTTGTACGTTAGCATTATATTTTTTGCGTGTAACTACGTAATATGGGGTCAAGATTTGGTATTTCCAGTTGACGAGGAAGCATCTCATGTCAGCGGTGGTAATAAAACGGTAATATAAAATTATAATATAATAAAAATAGAAGAGAGAGAGAGAGAGAGAGGGAATAGAGGAGGAAGTTATACGAATGGTATTTTTTTGCGACCATTAATGATCCCGTAGAAAAAAATTAATAATAATTTAGATATAATATGCGAAAGTGTCATATCAAATGTCAAAGTGTGCTTTGATAACAAGGAGGAAAACTAAGGAGGAAAATATCAAATACAAAAATGAAAGATATATATATTAGGAAGTAGGAATATTACGAAACACGGATGCGAAGAAAACGCGGATTATGCATATTGAAGAACATCTCGCCGATGACCTTGAACTTCACATATATGTTATCCAGGATATGTCCCTGAGTGACCTGTAAAAAGTTTCGGTCATCGGCGGTCATTGTTTATTAAAAAATTAACAAAAGAAGTTTCATTAATCGAACGCAATTTTTCGAAACAGTGTACATTTAACACCTAAAATTTGCAGAAGGTTATTTTAGAGCAAGTACCTATGAGCGGTGGAGGGGCTTCGCTCTCCCAAAGAAAAACCTAACCTAACTTATTGCATTTTTATATATTGTTGGACGTTGTTGAAAGGATTAAAACCTTTAAAACCCCAACGCCCAACATTATATGAAGATGCAATAAATTAGGTTAGGTTAGGAAAGCAATAAAATATATTCACCAGAATAATTGAATATTTTGTGTTTTATTGCTAGATTCTTTTTGAGCAGAAAAAAATATAGGTTATATATAGGTTGATAACTCTACCTTCAAATACTAGGGCGCGTGAAAATAAGCTTTATATTTCAAACCGCCCAGCTACGAGTCGGGTAGACCGCTTGACATGTTTAAAAGTCTAATATTTTACAAAAATTTTAAATGTGACAAACAATTCGGTGTATTCTTATGTATTTGACTGAAGAGTCCCGTTTTTTTTTCTTCCAGGTAATCACAGAACGTATACCGGTTTCAATACCGAATGAATGCCCAAAAAATATGCTCCTCTACCCTGGCGACGGCATAAAGAGCGCTTGGGTGTGCGACTGTAGATCTCGATTCGTTTACTTCCCAATGAATGATTCCTGCCACGAGGTGTACCGGCAAGGTCCTTGTCCAGTGTACCAATACGTTGTCCTACCGGAGGGTGAGGCAGTGCCACGTTGCGAGACGAATCCTTGCTTTATAGACGGCGCAGTACCGTTTAATGGCACGTGTCATCTTCTCGGATCGGCTGATGGGCCCTGTGGGTCCGACGCGGTATTAGGAGTAAATGAGACCACCTTCCAATTGGAGTGTATATCGAAGGAGATTGTGCCCTTTGTCATAATCGATACGCCCAATAAGATCTGTCCGCCGGGCAGCCGTAGAAGCACGCTCGGCGAGTGCAAAAAACTGGTATATATAAACTCTTACTCAATCTTTCATTATATCATTTCGCTCAATTACTCACAGAAGTGAAGTATGATATGGATATAATTACGCCGACTTTAAATTTTCGGATATCCGCGGGAATTGAACTCGACGAAATTATATCTGTGTTGTCTACTTTGCTCAAAAGAGAGATCGTATGTATGTGTATGCGCATGTACGTACGTGTGCACACATATACATACATGCACTAATAAAATGCATCGCAACAGATATATTGTATTTTGCAGGGTTAGAATATGACGCATTACACACCATGAGATACATCACAATAACTTTGATATATTGTTACATCATAGTTCACATGCATTCACAGGTCAGGATATAGCTATATGCTTGAATGATGTATCAAATAATAATAGACTAACAAGTTCATCTCTTTTCCTGGTGTATACTTGATAGATTTGTGTATATTATCTTATATATTACATATACATACATATGTATATGCTGTGTGTATGTATCATGTACACACATACACACACACACACACAGACAGCAGCACATATATACAATTTATAATCAGAGAAATATATGCAAAGAAATAGAGTATCAAGTTCTCTTATGATTCCTCCATTATATTTCTATGATGATGCTTACATTTATTTGTTACATATGGAAATATACATAGCTGTGATATGTACATTGTTATTATGATGTATGTACAATCTTAAATATATAATGTTTAAGTCTACGGGAAGCTGATTATATAAAGTGTGTTCCAAGTTTTATCGACTATATGTTCATAGAATATTCTGACACACACTTTAGCTGACAAAACCATGAACATTGTATACAAAACGATGACATCATGTACAGTGATCAATCACTGTGAAAGAATTTTATTCCCAATTGTAAATTGAGAACTGCAATTTTTATCACTTTCTAAGAATATATTAATGTACGTGTACTTAAACCGATCTTTCAATAAAAAAAAGATATAGACTATTAAACTATATTACATATCACTATTGCGCGAAATATAACAGTACTGATTTCCATTCAAACGATATTTGTTACGTTGCTATGAGCATTGTCTATTAATACGCCATTTTAATATTAACTATTCTGCGTATGAAAAGCAATTAACAATATCATGCAAAGTATTGCACTTTGTGAAAAATATGTGTTTTCGGAAAGGCTAAGAAAAAAGGTATTCTCAATGCTTTTGTAAATCAACAAAACATGTTGTCATGTTCGAGATTCGAAAGCCACGGCAAAAGTTTAACTCGCTTCCTGTTGCTGGTTACTTGTAGTAGCTTCTATCAGTCTTTGCCTTTCCCTGTACATAGAGACTTTCATGTTCTCCAACTGATGGTACCTCAACAATTTCAAGACAGCGAAAACCGACAGGCCGACCCAAACTGTCAGACTACTCCAGATGCCAAAGTGAGCAGCACCAAGCTCAATGTGGAAACCAGATGTGTCGATACCATCGGCTTTGTCGATATCGTTGCCAGCTGCTAGTTCGCATGACGGAAATCTCTTTGTCATACATTGGCACCAGGTCATAAAGCCCAAGGTAACAATTATTGCCGCAATCAGAGTGATTGTATTCAGAATGATGGAACTAACTACATCAACAAATGCTGAGAGGAACGAGCTGTCCTCATGACGATACATGAGCAGGGACAACCGGTAAATCTGTACTGCCGATGTGATGAGCAGTACCAGTCCAACAAATATTGTGTAATTACAATATGCCTGCGATGCCCAGTTGGCAACAAATTGACCGTCTGATTCCTGCCAGACTCCAGTTGAAAACAGTAAACAATGTCCTCTATAAGAGAAAGAAATGAAATAAATAGTTTATCATGTACATAGTAAAGAAAGGAGAGAATACATATCTCAGTTGTCGTTCAAGCGACATTTGCTGTAATTAGGAAACACAATGGTACTTCCAAGTGCTGCGCAACAAATGCTCTTAACAATAGACACAATATTTTCAGACTTGTGAAATTAAATGTTTTCCAAACATCCATCATCTGATCATCTTGTGCACTTTACCTGAACTCGTCTTGATGTAAACTCATTGGCACGATGATGCAGAGAGATAGAATGAGGGCCACGACGTAGCCCGCTATTTGACTAAGCAATAAAATATTCGTCAGTGCCATATTTCGGCAGTATCTTTATATGCTAATGGTAATTTCTCACGCTCCGATCGACACACGGACAGTCGTGAGGTTTGACAGATTGCAATCAAATGTAATCCATGAATCTCGGCCTTCCTCCTCGAGATCAAATCTCTGACGCAGTCTTGACTCGTGCGTGTCAGCGTTGCTTGTCAAAATCAAGTATAGACGTGTACGCAGTCACTACAGTGGCGAATGATAGCAAAGATATAGGACGTGATTTCAACCGTCGCATGTAACGCCGCACAGTGCATCCAATATCGTAGACTGACTCTTTGATCCGTACGTTGCGATTACACGTTGGCCTAGCATTTCAATTTGAAATTATTTCGAAGATGTTTTCTCAAACTTATTTATCACAGTAGACGCAAAAACCTCTGCTACGATCATACGTCTACTTTCCTCAACTGAACCCGGTTGCACTTTTTCTCATTAGAGCGAAAGAAATATATAAATTTGTGTTGGAAAGAAAAGGAACAAAATTTCAGTGTAGCACTAGTTTAGAAAAAGAGAACAGACTTCGTGATTGAAAACATGTTTAACAAACGTTTAAAAATTAAAAAGAATGAAAAAATAATCTAAAATGTTTTTACATTTGCGTAACACGCATGCGTTGACATTCTGACATTTCATCTTGTAGATTACAACTCGGAAATAAAATTCATTCTAAAACACACACGTACACATGATAATGAACGGATATGTACTGTATATCGTGCAAAAACAAAACAAGAAAATAATGGAAAAAAAAAAAAGGAGAAAAAGAGAATAGTTAAAACTTTATATGTTGCAAAAAGTGATGCATTCATCAATAAACTCATCTACCTTATCCAAGCACCTTATAAAAGCAAAAACGGCAATTTGCACTTGTTCTACAGTTATTTCTACTTTCTTTTCTTGTTTTTCGTTTTCTTGAATGTTCTGTCTTGCTGCGGTGTTATTACCACGGTGCTGTCTCACACCAATAGCAAAGCGCACAAAGCACACGCGTCATGTGTTTACGGTGCGCGAGCGCATCAGCTGATCGAGCGCGCTGTGACCTGAACGCAGTTCCGCAATTGGTTTCAGCAGTTGTAATTTTGACGGTGCCACCCTTGTCGCTCAGCTGGAGTGTCGCGCCAGACAACGTATCGTGCCGATAACTGACTACGCTTAATCCACGCATGAGAGAAAGCGAGAAACGAGAACGGCGAATTCTCCTTCAGAGACTTTATTGGTCCGGAGGGTGGTCGCATTGTTCCGTGAGTGTAAACTCGCGCGACGGATAGGTGCAGCAGAATCGTGTTCCGTGAAGCAGAGACGGTGTGAGGCAGCAGGGGCAACACGACAGGAATTCGTGTGCTCCGTCTGTCTCAAGTTAGTTAATCTTCCTTGATCGTTGCGGCTAAGAAATCGAAGCAAACAGCCTGCCAACCAGTCAGCTAACCTGCCTGCCTGCCTGCCTGCCTGTCTACCTACCTACTTACCTATCTACCTACCTACCTACCTACCTACCTACCTACCTACCTACCTACCTACCTCTACTTACCTACCTACCTGCTTGTTTGCTTGCTTGCTTGCCTGCCTGCCTGCCTGCCTGCCTGCCTGCCTGCCTGCCTGCCTGCCTGCCTGCCTGCCTGCCTGCCTGCCTGCCTGCCTGCCTGCCTGCCTGCTGCCTGCCTGCCTGCCTGCCTGCCTGCCTGCCTGCCTGCCTGCCTGCCTGCCTGCCTGCCTGCCTGCCTGCCTGCCTGCCTGCCTGCCTGCCTGCCTGCCTGCCTGCCTGCCTGCCTGCCTGCCTTCCTGCCTGCCTGACTGTCGACTGACTGACTGACTGACTGACTGACTGACTGACTGACTGACTGACTGACTGACTGACTGACTGACTGACTGTCTGCCTGCTGCCTGCCTACCTACCTATCTGCCTGCCTGCCTATCTGCCTGCCTGCCTATCTGCCTGCCTGCCTGCCTGTCTGCCTGTCTGCCTGCCTGCCTGCCTGCCTGCCTGCCTGCCTGCCTGCCTGCCTGCCTGCCTGTCTGTCTGCCTGCCTGCCTGCCTGCCTGCCTGCCTGCCTGCCTGCCTGCCTGCCTGCCTGCCTGCCTGCCTGCCTGCCTGCCTGCCTGCCTGCCTGCCTGCCTGCCTGCCTGCCTGCCTACCTACCTACCTACCTACCTACCTACCTACCTACCTACCTACATATCTACCTACCTACCTACCTACCTACCTACCTACCTATCTACCTACCTACCTACCTACCTACCTACCTACCTACCTACCTACCTACCTACCTACCTACCTACCTACCTACCTACCTACCTACCTACCTACCTACCTACCTACCTATCTGCCTGCCTGCCTGCCTGCCTGCCTGTCTGCCTGCTTGCTTGCTTGTCCGTCTGTCTGCCTGCCTACCTGCTTGTCTGTCTGTCTGCCTGCCTACCTGCTTGTCTGTCTGTCTGCCTGCTTGCCTGTCTGCCTGCCTGCCTGCCTGTCTGTCTGCCTGCCTGCCTGCTTGTCTGTCTGTTTGCCTGTCTACCTACTTACCTGTCTGCCTGCCTGCTTGCCTGCCTGCCTGCCTGCCTGCCTGCCTGCCTGCCTGCCTGCCTGCCTGCCTGCCTGCTTGCCTGCCTGTCTGCCTGTCTATCTGCCTGCCTGCCTGCCTGCCTGCCTGCCTGCCTGCCTGCCTGCCTGCCTGCCTGCCTGCCTGCCTGCCTGCCTGCCTGCCTGCCTGTCTGCCTGCCTGCCTGCCTGCCTGCCTTTCGGGGACGCTCCTTGCCGTTTATACATACAGCGATCCGTCGGTTGTCGGCCGACGAGAACAACGACGACAGTGCAAATTCAAGCCCGTGTTATATTATGTTCAGCTTTCTGTACGACGCGGACGGTGCGTGCGTCCGGGACATACAACGCGTTTCTCTGTGCGGTACATTTCGCTGCTAAGACATGCCCGTGGGCGATGAGGACGTGCTCGCAACCGCGACCAGACGATGGTGATGCTCGTCGATGCGGTGCCGTTCTCGTTCTCGATCTCGACCTCGACCTCGACGTAAAGAAGGCACATGAGGGGTGAGTCACGGGCAATCGAAGCCAGCAAGATGTCTTGGATGTCGGGGTTCACATGGTCGGAGAGTATCAAGAAGAGGGCCAGCAGGTATCTATTGCAACGTTACCTCGGCCAGTTTCTGGAGGAAAAGCTGACGCTGGATCAGCTGAACATCGATCTGTACAATGGCAGAGGTCGTGTCACCAACGTCAGCCTTGACGTGCAGGTGAGCGAATCCTGCTGATCTTTCGCGCTTCTTTGTTCTCGCTCTCTCTCTCTCTCTCTCTCTTTCTTTCTTTCTCTTTCTCTTTCTCTTTCTTTCTCGCTCCTACGGAGCGTGCGGCTTTTTAAAGAGATAAGATTGCATCCGCACGCGCGCTATGCGAATTGTAAATAACGCCGCGCTTCGTAGCGACACGATTATTGCATATAGATATTTTTACGTCATACCGTGCCTCCCGCGGTCACGTTTGCTCCAAGTGAGCGCGTACGACACGACGATGGCTTGTGGGGAACAAAGAGAAACGAACAGTTTCATCGGCGTATCGCGCGGATGCACAATTTTTAATTTGACTCTTTAAACGACGAATCCGGTGAATCGGCTGAGCGAAAGCAGCCCAGAAAGTTATTCCAAACATTAAACTGAGGCATTGATATTCTGCGTTCTTCAATATCGTCTTCAATCCCTTCCCTAGACATATTGACCGTGCTTATTTGTACCCGTTAATTCGTTGATCCGCGCGTCAGATCGTGAGCCAACATTTCTGACGTTTATCGACGTTTGTTTATTCGTTATAAATTTCGGCTAAGTTAAATGTAATCGGCGTTATTTTACGAATAAATTAACAATCGAGATATCACAACACTCGTTATTGTATTTGCCAGTATGACGCTCGATGTGTTAATAAATGCTAATCCATGCGGGCTATTATACCACTCATAATTCCTAATACGATTGTATAATAATGATGTCTTTCTTTAATCGCGACGCGTTGGACTAGGTATTGTCGAGTAACGTTGGTCTCATTGGTCCGCTGCTTCTTGCAAATCTGTATTCCGACGCATATAAAGAAAAACTTTGCACACGTACGATAATCGATAATTCTGAGTAACACTCTTTCGCTTCAAGCAAAGAAATGTATAATGCAAAAATTCGCTGTCCGCACACTGCAAACAGCACTTTCTGGCTGGTTTATTAATCCGCAAATATGTAATTCCCAACCTGATGCGCGCGCGACATATGAAAAGCAATATAGCAGTCAAAGAACAGTTCATTTCACAATGAAGAAATGGATGAATGATTAGCGTTGCTCAACAGGCGCTCAACGAATTGGGAGAGCAACAACAACTCCCGTTGGAATTCGTCGATGGTTTCATAACGGAAGTGTCCATCAGCATACCATGGGCGGCGTTACTTAGGGAAGCGAGTTACGTGGAGGTGAAGAGTCTAAGGCTCACGGTGCAGCCACGACAGAGAACCGATACGGGCACATCGATGTTCGAGTCTATGTGGAGTTCCATGACGTCGAGTATGCAACTAGCGCAGGAGTGTCTGCAACAGGACACAGCCAACATGGCGAACGCTCAGCCACTGGAGTCTGTGGAGAAATTTGCGCAGACGATAGATTCGAGTAAAGTACACGATTCATTTGTTTACAGTCGCGTTCTTGTCTTCTTCTTCTTCTTCATTGTCATTGTCATTAACAGGCATTAGCCCGGTGTAACTTGTTATTTGTACATTTTTCAGTTTTGTCCAAAGTGAAAGTGAGGTTCATAGACACTGTGATACGCCTGGAGCACGTTCCTTTGGATTCGTCCACGGGGGTGGCGATGGAAATGTGTATACAGAATCTCGAATACTCGGACGAGGCTGGATTGGACCCTAACAGCACATCCTTAGATTGCAAGGAGTCTACGAAAACTTACATCATTTCGGCATTCACTACCAAGCGGTTTTACCTAGAGGGAGTGACCTTCAACACCGACGAGTTTCCCTCTCATGCGAGAACATTTTCTAAGAGTATGGTGGAAAGCACAAGCTCCACGCCCGATTCTAAAGTGAGTATGTACCAATCGCGTTACCACTCTAGAAATGTTAGCCGAGATATTGCGGCAGATTTGAAGAAAAGAAGATAGACAATTATTTTCGAGATGTTATACCAATTTTTTCTCGTTCTTCTGCTAACGCGACTGCAGAACTCGGACAGTCTGTTTTCTTCCGCGCTAATGTCTCCTACGCAGAACGCGCCGCACACTCCACCGGAAGGAAATACCGCTAATAATGTGAGCGAATCGAATCCTATCATGTTTGCCAAACTGGCGGGTAGACAAGAAGTGAGATTAAAGATAAAGCAAGAGGAAGGAATGTCGGGACCAAAGGTAAATCAATTTTCATCCCCCATTTCGTCGTTATTGCAAACTACTCGATGGCTAATAACGCATTCGAGATAACGCATCCCCGCATATTCTTTTCGCTACATATAAAGGAACGACATACGTGTTTCAGGTGGAATTGGAAATTACCTTGGGATCTCTCACTCTATTCCTGAGTCCTAGGCAGCTGCATGTCTTGCTGGAATTGGCGCATGGCCTAGCGTCCCCGGATCTAGAAGACGTCAGCAACGTCGTGCCGAGGACATACATGGAGAAACCTATGGCCGGCAGCGACTTTAGTCGCATAGAACGCGAACTCATCCATCAAACTTATCCTGCACCGGACTTGCGGACCACGGTAATTTATTGGCTCTACCTCTACTTTTTTAATGCACCGCGTTCGTTTGTTCGTTTATTGCACAAGTTTTACCACATCGCAGTAACGTCTCGAGACACGAATTGCGAAACAAATTACGCAGACAGGTGTAATTAATAACACGTATCGCGGTGATTTGTCGTCAGGATCTGCGATATACTCAAGGATGGTCCACGGACCCCGTGGACGAGTCCGACAACGAAGACGAATTCTTACCGATGCAATTACCGGGATCTTCGTCAATGAGCGGCTCGATGATGAGCAACAACGTTAGTATGGAGGGCAGCATATCCACCAGCAGCATCAGCTCGAAGAGCTCAACGACGAATCTATCCAAGCATAATAAGCACAGGTACAACGTAGACAACGACACTTCCGCGGAGACGTCCCAGTTCCACATGAGAATGTCTTCGATCGCTCTGGTTCTTTTGCACGAGGATATATTGACACCATGCGTGGAGGGACGGTTCACGGTCGGTCTCACATCCAGTAGCATCAAACAAATGAGGAGTATCGCGAAGGAATTCTTCAAGCAATTGGGAATGTTCGCGACAGGTGGCTACGGAAGTAAAGATTTCGATAAAGTGTCGAGATTGCTCGTGGATGCTTGTCGACTCAGTCATATTAGGTACGTAGATACGTCATCGTTCAGTCATCGATACTGTAGACTGACCGACGTGACTAAATCTCTCACAGCGGTGATAACCAACCGGTGCTGGTCTGTTGCAGATTATTGGCCGCACCGCTAATTATCGAGGGGAATGAGAAGACCACCAGTCAGTTCTCCACGATATCGGGAAATTTGACTCTAGCTAGTTTAGAAGTTGTGGAGTGTCTGGTCGATTCCACCAATCCTGGTTCGTACGGGACGCCAACGATGGAATTCGTCGAACTGCTCGGATTTTCGAAAGAGAGCGTAACCGAACTCGGCTTTTCCAACAAGACCGACTTTAGAATGAGGTTTAAATACACGGAAAAGGCTGTTCGGCATGCCCATTCGACGCGATTTGCACACCCACGCACAGAGATCGAGTGAGTCGTCATTTTGTGCTTTAAGCTAGATGACGGGACGATGCAAACATCGTCAACAGCTTTTCATCAAATGAAACCAATTGAAAATACGATCACAGATCTTGGATAAACGTCTCCGATGCCGCATTTATTTTCGTTTTTTCTTTTCAGCATTCAATTGGAACCATGCAGCAGCGAAGTAGACATCACGATTATAGATAGGATATCCGCTGTACTCAATCCACAGCCGATATGCACCGGCAATCCTGCAGTGAATACCAGAGATGTGAGTGCAAAGTTTTCGACTTTCATCCTTCGATTTTTTCCTTTATGCTTTTTAGCTTGCAGTGCCTGAAAATTGTTTTGCTTGATTCGCTTGATAATTTCATTCTTGGAAACTTCACTTAAATTTTAGTTCTTTCTTCTTTTCTCCCTTTCTATTTGATTGCTTGGCACGCGTAGAAAAGCATCTCTATTGTTGCTGGTAAATAGACTTTGGACATGTTCCGAATGTTTTCAGAATCAGCAAACGTCATTCGATCAGGCTGTAGACAACACAACACTGCCAGATTCCAGGGTGGACGTGAAGGTTTCCGCTTCGTCGTGCACGATCAGACTGAGGTAGATCACGTCTGTAGATATTATATAAATACAGATGTCTGTGGATTATAAAAAAAGAAAAATCTTCTCACACAGGTTTCCTGTGCCAGATCTAAGACCGCTGCACGATATGAATCGCGCGCCATGGTGGAAAAGATCCGTCAGGCCCGACTGCATGGTGCTACAGATGACAGACGCACAAATTCGCTTCAGCACGGAGAGTCGGTCTCACTGTCTGGCGAGGTACGAATTGCAGTGTCGCTGTTTGTCGCTTTTGTACGTAGAAACCGAAGGAGACGCACCGCTCGAGATCGGCAGGGTCACGGCCGACGAAAAGAGCGATGCTTCGTACCAGCAGGTCAGCGAGGGCTTCGGCTGGGCGAGAATAGTGATCACTATGTATCCGCGGCGTCTCGGCGCACAATTGGAAGACAGCTCCGAGGGAGAGCCAGACTCGAGTTTGGACGAGAGCCTGGAGAAAACGCCGAAGCACGAGCCTTCCCCGTTCAGTTCTAAACGCGTCATTCGCGAGTCCGACACGCCTCACTCGAGGTCTCACGAGCAGACTGAAAAGTACGAGCAAAGGTTAGCGTGTTTAGCCTAATAACGAACTACACTCGAACAAAGAAATTGAAGCAACAAACGAGGAGAGTAATGGCTCTGCAAAAATCCGTAAACATCGGTATGTCTTGGCCAACAGCGAAGGCGAAGAGCTGATAATACCCGGCAATCGGCAAGAGATGCTGGAATTCATAGAGGAAGGCACGCGTGGTTCCAGGCTGCAGCTGGACATCAGTCTGCCCTGCGTTTCCGTCCAAATACCATCGAAACGTGTGTACGAGCTGCTGTACAACCGCTTCAACACTGACCTGTTTCTGTGGGAACCATCGGCGCCGAAACCCAGATGCATGTCTCACATGGAGAGTCACGTTGGCCTTGATCTAGCGTCGACTCTCTTACCGGAGTCCGGCACGTTGCCCAGGTAAAGGAGATGCACCACCAGGAGAGGCTTCTGGAAGGCTCTGCCTGTGAATTGCATCTTGAATTGATCCCGTCCCGCGTTTCTTTTCCTCAAGATTTTCCGTATACTCAACTTTTATTCCGTCTTGCCTATTTTTGACAAAATGACATGAAAGCATATGTGTGTACATCATTAAATTATTCACCTTTCATTTCTAGAATAGAGGCATCTTCTTAATCGAATATATCGCATAACATATTCTGTCGCGCTCTTTTCACTTTGGATATGTACGCGCACGCGTGTATGTGTGTATATATATATATATATGCGTATGTATGTGTGTGCGTTTCCGACAGGTTCCGAATGTGCAAGAGCGGCATCCAGTGCTCCGACTCCGAATCGGACGACGAGGATGTGTTTCATTCCACGGAGGATTATTACAAGAATCGAATGTCGAGGAATCTGGTCGACGCGCAGAGCAAGGTGGCCGTAACTGTGAACATCAGTCAGGGTCTGCTGGTAATACGGACACCGGTGCGCGACTCCACGCGCAACGTCATCCCGATGCAACACGGCGAGGTGGTGATTCGACTGGAGGACGCTACGATATTCTCCGTAACTGCGTTCCGTGGCGACGACGATCTTGGCTATATGTGCGGCATGGCAAGGAACATGTGGCTAAACCACTGCGGCCTAGCGACCAGCTCGTCGCAGACACCGCCTCTGCGATCAGCCTCGGCGAACAGCGTGATACCGCATTGCCATGGCACTATCTATCGGAGTGAGTCAGGCTGCAACACGGGAGGCGGCTTAGCTAACGCCACGGAGACGGACATGGTAACGTTGGCAGTGAGAATACAGGCCGCGCATCAGACACACCGCGTCAAGACCTTCCGCGTGGCGCTGGGCATGAGAAACGCCACGCTCAGGCATCGGATGTGCTCCCACGCGACCGCTTGGTACACGCAGCTGATCGATTGTCTGGACGTGGCCGATTATCCTGTACCCGGCTACGCGCCGCCGGGCGTCCTCACGGAGCTGCATCTGCATCTGTGGGATTGCGCGGTCGATTATCGGCCGCTTCACCTGCCGCTCAGATCCGTACTGACGCTGGGTAACTTCAGCGTGTCGAGCAACATTGCCGCGCAGACCAACACGTCGACATTGCGCTTCATCGCGGAGGAGGTCGCGCTCTTCGTGTCGGATAAGGTGTCGGGCAAATGCGTCGATCTCAGGCGAGGCTACGTGTGCGTGATGAATCTCGGGCTCTTCGAGCTGTCGCTGCGGCTCAACGAGAAAATGTGCGGCGGCGCGCCGCGGGTGGATCTCCGCGCGAGCAACAACGTGCTGCACGTACGCACGTGCTCGGACTCAGGACGCGCTCTCATGCAGCTGCTCAACTATATCGCTAGCGACGGCGATCTGATGCCGAACCCGGCAGCCACGGCCACGGCAGCCGAGAACATGCCCGCGCCGCCGAGTCGCAGGTCGCCCGAGGAGAGCCTCGTGGATGTGGAGAGTATAAGCACTTTGAGCAGGAGCCAGGTGGAGCGAGTGTACAGTCTGATGGAGGACGCGCTGGAGGAGACCGTGAAGGGAACGATGACGCAGAACGTCGATGGCAGAACACCGATGACGGAGAATCGAGTCGAGGTGTTTTTCTTCCCCGACGAAGCTTGTCCCACCACCGCCACCACCGTTGCTGCGGCCGTTGCTGCTGGCCCGCATAGTCACGGAGTCACAGAGACGCGCGGCAGGAAGTGCAGCGCGCGAGAATGCGGCGCCAAAACTACGACCGCCGTCGCGTGCGACGCCCTCGAGTCCGACGATGTCGACGAGGAGTTCTGTATTCTAGGGGAGGAGGCCGGTGTGGGAATAATACCGCGCTGCGGTGTGCCCGAGGTCCGTTGGCTGTGTCAGGAATCGTTGAGGATAGTGGACAACCATTTCTACGTGCCGGCCGGCAAAGCGGATCTGCTGCAGGCTCCGCCGAACTTCCCCGCGCCCGTATTGAAGTACACTCTCTGCGAGATGACGCTGATATGGCACATGTACGGCGGCAAAGACTTCGAAGAGACGCAGACGCAGCCGCTACCACCGCCGCCGCCGCCGCCGCCGCCTTCATCGTCGTCCTCGTCGTCATCCTCGTCCTCGACCTCGTCGTCGTCGTCGTCGTCATGCCAGAAGCACGTGACCATCAACGAGAACGCGCGTTACAATATCACGCACGGAAGGTACTTTAACTTGGTTGGCACTTAAACTAACTGTCGCTCCTCTAGCTGACGAACGGGTGCGAGAGAATTTATTCATTGATCAAGATCGGAATCGATCGGAAATCGGGAGAAAATCCGATGACGGAGAATATTTTCCCGGTAGTCCTCTTAAATTTTCATTTCCTTTCTACGTGTCCACAGAAGCAGATCCGCTGTAGGTGGCGTGAGCTTCAGCAAGTCCAGCGCGAACGAGGTGCACTTTGGCAGCGTGCCGAATTCACCGTGCGCAACAAGAGGCAGGGAATCATTGGTCGACTGGCAAACGCTCGGCGGCCAGGGTCGACGGCACGACGTGCTGATGGAGCTGCAGCTGAACAAGATCCGTTTTCAGCACGAAGTCTATCCGGAGAACACCGCGGAAGCGTCCAGGCAGGTTCTCTTGGTGAACGAGATCGAAATAAGGGACCGACTGGCGTCGTCGCGCATCAACAAATTCCTTTATCAATATAGCAGTGAGGCGAGACCGAAGCAGTCGCATGCCAATATGTTTACCATGAAGGCGGTTCACGTAAGACCGGATCCCAGATTAAGCGCTCAAGAATGTTGTTTGAAACTTAGCCTACTGCCACTGCGACTGAACATAGACCAAGATAGCCTACTGTTCTTAATAGAATTTTTTAACGAACTAGGCGGTGGTGGATCGAAGCAGAGCCAAGAAAACACTAGCGCACCCAATAATAGCTCGCAATCCACCCCCGTATCGAAACAAGGAACACCCACGCATCATCCGCCCGTTATGAGCGTGAATGATGATGCGTCGATGAACGACGCGATGATGAATATGTCGCAGAATGATATTATTGATCAGAATTTATTGATACTGCTGGAGGACGAGCTGACGATCAAAGAGAACAAGATGAAAGCCAAGACCGTCTACGAGGTCCACGACGACAGCCAGCCGATATACTTCAGGTACACTATTTCTCGGTGTTATCTCGACCTCTCGATATTGTCATCTCACACGTACGTGTACGAAGCGCGAAAAGTTTCGATGTGTCTAACCTGGATAAAATTCATTTCTCCCACCATGCAGAAGTGTGGTGTTCTCTCCGGAGGTTCTCGTGAAGCTGGATTACCAGGGAAAGCGCGTAGATCTTACTCACGGACCGTTCGCCGGCTTGCTGATGGGTCTGGCGCAATTGAACTGTTCTGAGCTAAGACTGAAGAGATTGTCGCACAGATACGGACTTTTGGGATACGACAAACTGCTCGCTTACCTAGCTTCGGAGTGGTTGCAGGACATAAAGAAGAATCAACTACCGGGTTTGCTCAGCGGCGTAGGTCCGATGTACTCGGTGGTACAGCTCTGTGAGTATATTGCTCCGAGAAGAGTCGAGTTGCCGGTGTTGAATTAATTTCACACATCTTGCATGAATAAAGAGAACGGAAAAACACAACGAAAACGGGAGATCACGTTGCAGTTTCTCGTTGTAGTTCAAGGGATACGTGACCTGTTTTGGTTACCGATCGAACAATACCAAAAGGATGGGAGAATTGTGCGCGGCTTGCAGCGCGGTGCAAACAGCTTTACAACGTCCACTGCGATGGCGGCGTTGGAGCTCACGTCTAGACTCGTTCAGGCGATACAGAGTACGGCCGAGACCGCATACGACATGGTCAGCCCCGGTCCTAGCGTGAGATACAAGAATAAAGGACAGAAGGGTCGTCGGAAGAGGCACAACCAGCCATTGGATATTCGAGAAGGAGTAGCTAACGCTTATATGCTGGTAAAAGAGGTGAGAGAAGCGATATATTTTCGCCGCGATATTGCGAGATGACATACGTCGAGCAACTTGTGTCAAAAGAAAATACAGTATAGTCGAAAGCAACGAAAATATTTGTTCACTGTAACACTTTGTGTCTAACATGTTTTTTTGCCGCGTTTCAATCACGTAAATTAATTTCATGTACATATACATATTTTTCTCTCTCTCTCTCTCTTTCTCTCTCTCCCCCCTTTCCTTCCTTCCCCTCTCTCTATATTTTATTATCCAGGGTTTGGGCGAAACAGCGACGCAGCTGGTCCGTGTGGCAAGCGAGGAGCACGAGCATAAAGGTGTATCTGGCGCAGTCGGCGGAGTACTGCGGCAAATTCCGCCGACGGTCGTGAAGCCAATCATTCTAGCCACGGAAGCGACCAGCAACGTACTTGGTGGCATGCGATCACAACTGGTACCCGATGCGCGCCGCGAGGCAGTTCAGAAGTGGCGGCAAGACTCTGACGCTAGTTAATCCTTCCGCTGTGCTAACTGACGGCAGAGCTTTATCACGGAGACGCGATCAGAATTAACATCATATTGACTAACGCAATCAAGATTAACATTATATTGATCTGTGCAATTAGGACTGAATGATTATAATGCGAACACGGACAAGTGACAGACCTAAGACGCACGCTATCGATGAAAGAAAGGAAGGGGAAGATTAAAAGACGCGAGTAGTCGTCCTTAGGCTCTAATTACGGTACTATACAATACATTAACATAGTGTAATATATGTATATATATATGTATATATATATATACATACATATATTTGTATACATATATAGGTTTTGTTGATTCCCTTGTACTTGTATAATATGTCAAAATGAACTACGATTTGTTATAATGTGTGTATGTGTGTACATGTGTGTGTCTATATATATATATATATATATATATATATATATGTGTGTATATGTATAGAAAGAGAAAGAGAGAGAGAGAGAGAGAGGGAGAGAGAGAAATTCTGTCGTAAAAAATACATTACAACGCTTGTATGTATTTTTATTTTAGTTATACGTGCGTTTTATACCAATGATGTGTATATGAAAGGTTTTTATTAATAAAATTATATATACGATAGAAATATACATATTCTCTGTACACACAATTATTATATTTGTTCCCCTCTCAAAGCTAGACAGCTGAGACAAATTGGCCAGCTCATACAATTTTCTCATCTTGTAAAGAATGTCCTATCATTTCTTTTTTCCCTTCAATGTCTATAATACCTTTATGCACACCTGATCTGTCGAATGCAAAAAAATCACGTGATACGTTTAAATGGATACCAGGATATCATAGGTCTGTTCGTTTTGTCTGCACTGCTGAACTGGTGCATTAAGTTAAAGTGAGACAAACGTAGGTTTTCTCACTCCAACTTGTTGCACCAGTTCAGCAGTGCAGACAAAACGAACAGTCCTTATTTTTCTCCTTTCAAGGCCCAGTTCCACAACTTGCTTTAAACGGAGTTTAAAGCTAAACCAATGGTTAAAAGCACTAGTATATGCGCATTTACTATTGCTTTTAACCATTGGTTTAGCTTTAAACTCCGTTTAAAGCAAGTTGTGGACCCAAGAACCGGATAATGCCTATCCGGTTGCACTTTAAGGTGTAAGGTACAGAAAAGTGCAGTTAAGACGGAACGCGTACGTAAGTACGATTGTACGCTGGTCAGTAGCGGAGTCAGCGGCGAGTTTGATGAAACGAGAAGCGTATCGTACGCGCAAACGGAAAATGCGGCAGAACGTGATCGGCCGTTTCGTGTGAGCTCGCGCGACAAGCGAGTGAACGAAAAAGGAAGACGGATAAAATCTGTGATCAGCTATAGGAGTCAAGGTGTGCGAACGTCGAAAATGATACGACAATTTTGCTCGACACGCCCGTACTCCTGCAGGATCAAATGAGGGAAGCTGACCCTCATCGTCTCTCGAGATCTCAAACCCACAATCAGAATGGTTTCCCTGACGCGAGTCTGTTTCGTCGCGCTTCTCTATGGTAAGCGGCCATCGTGTTGGCGCTACTTCGAGAATGCCGAAAAATATCTTACGTGTTTGCAAAAAAGGACAAAAAAGAAAACGAGAGAAAAGTGGCTACACACACGCGGTTTTGCGCGATTTGACATAACTTGACACGTAGCCTGATCGATAAACAGACACACTCACCTGACACCCGTCTAATTCAATTCCCGTCGTTACAGCTCGTCATTTCACGCCGAACAATCGCATTAAAATGATCGCATTGGAATTTGATTCTCTTGTATTTCTCTTACGTGCGTTCTCGCTTCTACGATCATATCGTACATGCACTTGCGATCGAAACTGATTAATTGTCTCGTGAAGCTGCGCTCGGCAGATTTGACTCGCGTTGCGCGTCACCGCACGATCTTACGAGATCGCAATTGTCATTACTATCGTACACTGTTTGTCATTGAAATACATCTTAGCTTTTTCAGCAATTTTGACGCACACGGCAGCATCGCGCGTAATTGAATTAAGTGACAGGTGAGGGATGTGCTTTATGCCCGATTCTCTGCTGTCTATCGTTCTTTGATATACGTATCTTTCTTGCAGGTTTTTAGATATACACAAAGATGGACAATGGCTAGTCATGGTATGTTTATTGCCTGCAAGATATCGTCCTATACATTTGGAAGTTATAGCTAACTTTTTTTTTCAGATGTACGCGCCATGGTGCGCGCATTGCAAAAGATTAGAGCCAATTTGGGCTCACGTAGCTCAGAATTTGCACGCTACGTCGATACGAGTGGGACGAGTGGATTGCACCAGGTTTACTAGTGTGGCGCAGACGTTCAAAGTCAAAGGATTTCCCACTATTCTATTGTATGTACATTTCTCCTGTTTTGACTTGTATAACAATATCTTGCGAGTTTCAATTCCAGTTTAAAAGGTGAAAAGGAGTTTGTGTACCATGGCGACAGAACTAGAGATGAAATAGTGAAATTTGCGCTAAGACTAAGTGGCCCTTCTGTACAAGAGATAACAAGGACCCAAAGTTTTGACACCATAAAGAAAGAACGCGATCTCTACTTCTTATATGTGGGAGACAGATCTGGAATCTTATGGGTATAACTTTTTTTTTTAAACGATTTTACAGAAATAATCATCTATATGATATAGTATATCATACCACATTCTCCTCCTAGAAAGACTACAAGTTTAAAATATTCTCTGAAGCATATAAATCATTCGTCAAGGCATTTAGAGTCATTTCTCTATATTACAGGAACTGTATCATAAGACTGCAAATATATTTCAAGCGCATGCATTTTTCTATCAGTCCCACCCGAATGTTGTGAATAAACACGCGCCAGTGGAGAACGTTCCAGCATTGTTTGTGTACAAGGAGAGCTCACATTACAATTTCACCGGTGAGTCGAGCAAAGAGTGGAGGAGAAAGGATTATTATCTTGTGCTTTACGTTGACTCGCTTTAATATGCAACTCACAGGACATCATCAGATGGACGTAGAGAGAGTGAACGAGACACTCTACAAGTGGGTGAACGCGGAGCGTTTCCCGACATTTCCGAAAGTGACCAGGGGAAATATAAATCAGTTGTTCCTGACGAATAAGAATCTCGTTTTAGCGGTGGTCGAGGAAAATCAACTGGAAGAGGTCGCGCCTGATATGCTAGAATTCAAAGATATGATCGAATCTATAATCAAAAGCAAACGAGAGAAATATCACGAGTACGTTACACATCATTTTTGGATATACCTTCGATGGAAACGTTGAATATCAATATTGACATGAGTCGCGTTCACAGCCATTTTCAGTTCGGCTGGATAGCTAGTCCTGATCTAGTCAATAGCATAGCGATGATGGTGCTACCTTTACCGAGCTTAATTGTAATAAATACAACTACGAACCATCATCACATTCCCGAGGACGAGACAGGGAAATTGACCCCGTATGTAATAGAACTGTTTCTGGAACAGATTCGTGACGAGAGCGCTCCGGTACGATGCTAATGTTCCTCCAAAGATGCTTGCTGCCGATTCAGTGTCTCAACAATGTATTGATATCGATGAATTTTTAGCGATACGGTGGAAACGGCTGGCTGGTACGCATTTATAGATCTTGGTTTGAGCTGAGAACTACTCTGACTGCAATGTGGAAGGGTAATCCTACGTTGACAACATTGTTGTTTGGATTGCCAGCTGGATTTCTATCGTTAATATGTTACGGGACTTGTTGCCAAGATATCATGGATGCTGACGACGACGAAGAGGGTAATTTTTTTCCGAGACACTATTGTGTCTCTTGATGTATTATTGTGCGCATTTGGTGTGTGTGTGTGTGTGTGTGTATGAGCGTGCGTGTCTGTCCGTTTGTCTAATATATTAATAAAGACTTGGATGAGAAATATATATATATATATATATAATATATATATATAAATGTATATGTATGTATATATTTCTCTCATTCAGGTTTTTATATTAATTAATTTGTCAATTTTGCATCATTGCATACGTGTTATTTCCAGAGAGTACTGAATCGAGCCATATGAAGAAGGATTAAGAATAATTACGGGTAATGTCGTTCGAAATTCCGAGACTTTTTTTCATTATGTATATAAGCGCTTCTGATTGCGTTTGTTATACACTCTCATACTTGCCAAATCGTTCGTAAGAATGCGAGGAATTTCAGGCAACGACGCATATCGCTGTCATGTCATATAAAATGTCCTTCCTCTCTTCTCCTTTTAATAGTGATTAATCGTATATTTCAATCTTCTTGTTTCTTGTGATTGAGTTATGTGTCAAAAAGTGATATATATATATTATAGTGATATAGATATATATATATTCCACATGACAATACAACCTATCGAATTAAGCAAGCGTGTATACACTCGGGAAAATTTGTTTCTTTAACACAGCTTTAACAAAGATATAATATCAAAAATTTGTATATTAAAATGCGAATATTCACACATTTCGTAAAGTCCAATTTTATCACCATCAAATTGAGCATTGGTTATTTTACAAATATGAATAATATATAATGATAACAGTATATAGTCTTATGTAAGTCGTGCGGAATTGTTATTTGTTGTATCGTGTAGACTGAAAGTGTGATTGTGATCTCTCCTTTCAAAATGGAGAATAGTGTTATGTGAGAGTGTACTATCTTGTATTTGCCGAAAGAAATATCTATTTATATGTATCAAATAAAGAAAAGGAAAAAAGATAAAAAACACAAAATATTGAAAACATTTCTCCCGATAGATTGCCGATGCTATTTGTATAGATACACGCTATATTTAATTATTAAATGAGAAACAGTATTGGAAACTTCTACTTCTACCCATTATCAAGATTCTCGTAATCAATATTTATGACTTTTATTTGAATATTGAATAAAAATAAAGATATATGACTAAGCTTAAGAGTATGCAACCTAATTGTAAAGGATTACCTGCAACCTTTTGAAATCGAAAGTACTAAAATACACTGGTCATCCAGCAATATTAAACACAAAACTTGCACAATTGCTATAACTCCATATCATCATCAGAATCCAAGGCTGCTCTTCTTCTATCAAACTAGAACAGAATTTTAGGATTGTTACTAAACTTGCAACTCACTGCATTATCAGATTGCACACATACACAATCATACTATACTAACTTTGACAGTTGTTTTTCTCTGTGTTTGCTGACTCACACTCTCAAGTAAACTGATCAGTTCTTTTTCTCCAAGTTTGCCAGCTATTTGACCGCGCTGTGCCATGTTCACAAGCATTTCTTCCACCATTTTCCCCTTCTCTGGCTTTCCAAGGCAAAGTGTATTCACTGTATTCGATAAATGCACAATGTTAATAACGATTGGTATTAACTTACTCATGCAATATCAACAATATTTTTAATATAGAGAAGGTTACGTCTTGCTCTAGCCGATTGATCTAACACTTGAGTTAATATAGAATTCCTCATATCTTCCATCTGCTGCATTCTTTCTTCCATTGCCTGCTTATTGTCGACATTGTTACTCTAAAAAATTACATGCAATCAACAATCGTAATTCGTTGAAATACATATATAATTCACACTTAACCTAAATATTACGTGCAATTCTCTTCTATAATCTTCTGCAAGCTTTGAATAGTATCGTTAATCATTGCAATTATATTGTACATTTCATCCATCTTTATTTTCATAAAGTTTTATGCAGGACACCAATGTCCACAGACGACTTTCCTTAGTATACGCGCGGCATTTTACAGCGAAGTAAAATTACCTTGTACTGAGACTGCAATTGAGCCAGTCGTTGCTGTCGCAACACTTCGAGTTCCGGATCTGACATGCTTATTGCGCTCCGTCAGATTTTGACGAGATCAGACAATTAAAGATACAAAATTGCTCAATGTTTGATATGAAATGTATCTGTTATCCCGTACTCTTCTATCTGCAATGGGAATGAAAACGACCAACCCATTTGTTGAAGATTTATCGAATTGTGCTTTAGGTGCGTTCCGAGACTGGCTTTGGAAAGTTTGGTTTTAGTTATATGGTTAGTAAAAGACCGGTTGCACACAGAACGCGGAATACTGCGGTAGCCATTCAGCATCTTGCTTGCCCGGAAATAATATTTACGAACACGCGACATTTGGAACGTTGATTGGCTACTGAAATATTCCCTAACCAACTTCCGCTGCGCGGCAAACATGCCGCGCGTCCTGTGTGCAACCGGCTTAAGGGTCTGTTCTTTTTCGAAGAATTATACTGCAGCTGTCCCTGCTCGATTTGGATTTGATTCTTTGGCATAAATGTTGAGATTTACGCATTAATTATCTTATGGTCAAATGATAAGAAATGAAATTTTATTTGTAGAAAATAGAACTTCAGAAATAAAGATAAGCGACAAATTCTATATTTTATGTTTGACTTATTTTTAATGAAACCTAAGATTTTTTTTTTTAAGGACTTCCGTACTATTTCAATAAGTTGGAATGAAACAGATATATTTTCTCTCTCATTCTAACTCATTGTACTAATATGCGCTAGTTCAAAAGTACTTCGAGAAAGAACATACACAGACCTTTAATTTATTTCTCGTAGATTTTATCCTATTGCTTGTTTAACAAAATAAATAGTGATAAAAAGTATATAAAAATAAACAATGGTCATTTAAAATATATTGGAAATGGGATAGATAACGTTTAGAATATTTTGTAACTCTGGAATATTTTATCTTGTCTTATCGGTATCGACGTCACATGTGATACGAAGTACGTGGGATGTCAGTACACATAATACTATTCAAGGAGAGCTACGTTTCGTTATATCTAGACAATTATTGTAATATATAATGAAAATGATATAATTTTATTGTTTTATATATTTACATTACAGTTGAATATATATTTCTGTATTACTAAACAACATGTATATATACGTATGTATTCAATGAACTTATTACAAATATATATATATGCATGTAGTTGAATTATTTGCCAGTCACTGAGGTAATGTAGTAAGTATGAGTTCTCTTATAAGGGGCGAAACATCACAAGAAAGCTATGGTGTTCAAACATGAGTGCAATCAAGCAAGTTGCTATTAGATGTCTTTCAACATCAAGTTTCTCCACAGGTATAAATGTATTTATATCTAACCTAGATATAAATGTCACTTTTATAGCTTAAAACTTCCTAAAAGATTTTGTTCCTCCTTCCTCCCTCCTTTCCTCCCTCCCTCCCTCCCTCTCATTCTCTCTTCATCTAAATTTTTCTTTTATTAATTCTTTAAATAGATTTAACTGTAACATATTGATATAAGTAAAAAAATATCTCTAATTACATACCAAAATAAAATATTTTTATTTAGTTTTTTCTATTTACTAGAACATATTGATTCCGCAAATGATTATCGAATGGTTTTTTCCAGCAGCTGCTAGAGACATTACATATACGGGTATGTATGAAACCACACAAGATGATGTCCTCATGAAAGAGGTATGTCTTTATATCATCATGTTTATCATTTAAGAATTTCTAACTTTTTTAATTTTGTTTAATTTTGTTACTTTTTATGTTATAATTATACATTTTTTTTTTATACAAATAGGTAGGAGATTGCGGTGTGATAATTTTGAATCGGCCCAAGGTATTGAATAGTTTGAATCTGTCCATGATTAAAAAAATCCATCCTATTTTGAAGCAATGGGAATCTTCAAAGAGATTAGTAATGATAGAAGGGGCAGGTGATAAAGCATTCTGTGCAGGAGGTGATGTTAAGTCTATTACCACAGTATTACATGAACCAAACGGGGAGACTTTTGGGCAAGAATTCTTTAGAAGAGAGTATACGTAAGTTGATGAATGCGTGTTTACTCACAGATAGATATATTTTTATGTGTGTATGAAAACAAATAAGAAAATTTGTTTTCCTTCTAGCTTGAATCATTATATTAGTGTGTACAAGAAGCCTTTCATAGCTTTCATCAATGGGATAACCATGGGAGGTGGTGTTGGATTGTCTGTACATGGCAAATACAGAGTCGCTACAGAAAAGACACTCTTTGCTATGCCGGAAACAATGATAGGACTGTTCCCTGATGTCGGTGGAACTTACTTTTTGCCTAGACTGAAAGGAAAATTGGGTCTTTATTTGGGTCTAACAGGCCACAGATTAAAAGGTACGTGAAAACTATATTCTTCCTCTAAATTTTACATCATATGTATGTCATCTAGTATGTATATATGTATATGCATATGTGTGTGTACGTATATGTTTTGTTTAATAAAGGTGTTGATGTGCTTCTTGCTGGGATTGCGACGCATTACGTGCCATCAGAGAAACTCCCGGATCTGAAGCATGATTTGTCAACATCACCAAACGACAGCATCAATGACATTTTGATCAAATATCAGCCAAAGTTGAATTGCGAATTCAGCTTGGCGCCTCACATGTCACAAATAGAGCATTGCTTCTCTGCTCCGACCATTGAGGAGATAATCGAGAGGTGATATAAAAATAGTTGTTAAATTTGCAACAACTGAATTAACATTTGCTCTTCTCATGCAAAAATGTAAATAATCTTTGTGAAGACTAAAGGAAGACGATTCGGAATGGGCTCGGAAGAACGTGGAGATACTATTCCAAATGTGCCCGTCCTCTCTTAAAGTGTCAAAGAAAGCAATCGACGAAGCGAAAGAAAAATCTTTAGCGGAATGTTTGAAAATTGAATATAGATTGGCGTATACCGCGCTAGACAAAGCGAGCGACTTTTACGAAGGTAATCAGGAAGGATTCAATCGACATTGTACGACTAATTATTCTCAATTACGATTCAATTACGTTACAATTTGATTGTAGGTGTGAGAGCTCTCTTGATCGACAAAGATCAAAAACCGATGTGGAAACCTAGCACTTTGGCTAATGTCACAAATGAATATATTAATAAACGATTCGCACCGTTACCTGTCGAGTTGGAATTAGAATTGAGTGCGAGTAAACTGTGAGAACTGAGGAATGTACTTGGCAAACAATGGATTATTATTGAAACCATTATTAAATATTATTGTTATACATAATTTTATACTCAAAAGTCTATTAAAAGGACGAGCTTACTAATTTGTCTTTTCATTCCTTGCATAATAAATTTTTAATGATGTATATCGCGACTGTTATATGTAACAATCAATTGTTAAATACCATTTCAACAACACGAACAATTGGTTCAGGACACGATTATGTAAAATATTTCATTCGCGTGAAGTAACGAAACGGAGACGTCGTAAGTATATTTATTTTAATTGTTGCACAGGAGGGAGATGTGTGGTCTCGTAAATTCGATCTTTATTTCGGACGCGACTCTGTGCGATCAAGAATCCGCACAAGTGAGTTTACAAAAACGTATCGAACGAAAATTTGCCACAATTTACACGTATATGCGCTTACGAATAATTCTGTTTTTTTTGATAACAGTTTTTTTGATCCGATTAGATCGCATTGGCTTTCAAACGCAACGTATGTTATAACTGAAGATCATTTTATATCCGATGTGATATGTGCTACTTATTAACTGATGTTAGTTACACTTGATACATGCAATTTCACAACCAACAATTTCCTACCTAAAAACATAACGTAATTGCGGCTATTTAGTGATGGTGATCACAGTTTGACGAACTTTTTTATGCCATGGCGCGGAAAAAATTACAAAAAATGTTTTTACACATATATTCTAGTTTTTCTAAATAATAATAAATTCCAAACAACATACGCAACATTGACATGCAAATGCAAAGTTACGTGGAAAAATCAAACATTAGTGTAAACGCCTAGCAACGGAATATGAAATGCGTCGTATTTATTAGTTTGAATAATCGTCGCTTTCAAGATCGATCAAAGTCGAAGATAACGCTGACGCACGTGTGGAAATGCGCGTGCTGGTTAACATATCGATTCTTTTAATTTTTATAAATTACGTATTTGCACGCTTCTATATAACTTCAATTTTCCCAATGACTATAAAATTAGTATCTAACATTACACGTCATTATAAATAACTAATAGCTAACCCAAAATAAGTCTACAAAAACACTTGGAATTCTTAAATAGTTTATTATAGTTTTTATTTATCAAAACGTTTATTTCATTGTCCAGCGTGTCCAAGATTTCCTCAGTTGTGACTCGCAAAATGAACAGGAATCCACGTAAGATTCGCATGGGGCTTGAAGTATTTCAGAGGAAGGGTGGGAGAGAGAAAGAGATAAAGGGAAGTGACGGGCGCCACCGGGCTGCTTCGCGGATATTTAACATTAAAGAAAGAAACTCACGATTTCTATCATACAACATAGAGCGTTTTTGGTAACACTCGCTTGTTTTTTCTTTCTCTCTTTTTTTAAAATCTCCTGCATCTACTTATGTGTACAATTTCAAATTTCCGTGACTGTATTTATTATTTGTGTCAATGAAATGATTTTCCTCTCCCACTATCAAATTTGTACGAAGAGAATCATTACAGTACCGGTATTTCGACGTTGTCGAACGACATCGGCTAACCAGGAACCATAGAGAGGGAAAATGTTCATGAAACTGATCGTGTGTGTATGCGTGTCTGATACAATACATATACGTTTTCAATCGATATACTGTGCGAGCCAACGGAAGCCTTCCCCATATCCCTGCCTCTTCAAGACTGAGCACATAAACAGCTCCAGTGGACGGCCTGGTATCTCATTGCGAGAAATTTTACCCTAAAAATTGAATCACAAGTAATCTCAGTTCACAAGTATATACAGGTACATTCACACGAGACATAATCGAAATAATCGATATGACTCTTGTATCGCACGGCTGTACCTTTCCTGTTGTTTGTCCGTACAAATTGAAAAAGTTTCTTAGTTCATCCTCGGATGCTGCAGATGGTTTGTCGATCTTATTGCCTAATACCAGAACGGGGCACGCACTGAGTTGTTCGTCGGTTAACAACGCATCGAGCTCAGCCCTCGACTCGGGCAATCTTGTTCTGTCGCTCGCATCAACGAGAAAAACTATCGCATCGACAGCTGGAAAGTAATCTTTCCACACTCGGCGTGCTGGAAACATATACATATACATATATATATATATATAATCGTGTAACATCTTTGTATGTCGTATGTGACAAGTTGTGAGTTTGGAACAAGTGTTTTCATAAAATGTACACATCCATTTGCATACCTTGAGTATGGCCCCCGAGATCAAAGGTTGTAAATCTCATGTTTCCAATGGACAATTCCTCAGAAGCTGAAAAATATCAATTATTAATTAAACAATTCAACATAATCATCTGATCCTGACCAATTGTTGTGCAGGTTATAGTCGAAACAATCTCTTACTTCAGTGCGCATCATCATAGTAGTTTTGTATTTTTAAATATGTACAACTTGTTAACACAAGCAAGAAAACTGTTTGTATAATATATTCTTGAATATATAAAATATTCCTAATATTTTATATATTTAGAAATACTTTGTACATTTAAAAAAATATGATGAAAAAATTAAATAGAAAAGAAAGATAAATAGGTTAGGAAGTAAAATTATTTACTTGGATGCAACGTGGGCACATGTTGAGCTAAACGATCATCCTTGAGCATGTGAAGCAATGTGGTCTTGCCTGCATTATCCAAACCCAGGAAGAGAAGCTTACCACTCTTCTTCCACAATCCTGAAAACAAAAAAGTAACAATCTTACTAGGAAATTAAACTTACGCCAAATCTAAAGATATTCTTCCAAATTCTTTCAAATCTCTGGTACTTGTACGAAATTAGTTTATACAACAGTAATTGATGCTAATTATAATTCTTATGAAATATAATCTCTATTTTGCTTATTTCACTAAAGATGATGCAAACATATCGTATTGATTATCATTTTATGATAGTTAATTCCAAATTAACTTTAGATTGTAATTTCTAAGAAATAAGACTTATTTCTTGCAATATTTTATAATAAACAGTATGGAATATTTCTTAATGTCATTCATAATGGAGCATAAAATATCAAAATATCATATATTATGTATAACACACTCACTTTATAAAGTGACGTATCATCTGTATAAGAATGACATGGCAGTCAATATATATGTTTAGTAAATAGCATCACTCCTGTGAGACAAAGCTCTTTGTGTTCAACAGTTGTTTTCACAAGTCAAATAAAATAATTAACATTAAATCTCTCAACCACTTCCATGAACCATTTCCAACGAAATGACAGTGCAGGAAAATTATTGAGATCACATATGACACTTCCAATGATGAGTACGCATATTTATCATCTCTCGATATAACGGTTTACAATCGCAGCGTTATAATCAAATTACAATTCCCCCGTGCTTATCTCGTAGAATTTCTCCATCGGTCACAGGGCGCACATTAAAGTTCTAGTAAACGAGTTTCACTCACCGAGATAATTCAGCACCCCAGCGAACCAGTCCCAAATAAACATATTTGCAGCTGCGAGGGTGTTACAACACTACGTCCACCGTGCGTTCGTACGCGCGTACGTGTTAACTAACGAATGACTCTGCAACAATAAGGAAAGTTAACGAGATCACCGTTTGCCAACGTGACCGCCGATTGTGCGTCTCGCGCGCGCGATACAGCCGATTCTTTTAAATTCGCTGTCGCGACCTTGATTCGCTCGTCGCGCGTCCAGAGTGCTAGAGGTATAATCGGCATGAGAAACCCGGTGCGTCGTCGCCATCGTCACCGTCACCGTCGTCGTCGTCGTCGTCGCGTTGTCGTAATCTTTGTCGTTGTTTCGTCGTCGTCGTCGTTGCAGCGATACGTCGTGCGCGATCCTTCCACACTCCGTTGCACTTCTCTACACCTCCGTATGATTTCGGTGCTCTTTCTCTCTCTCTGCGGCAGTCTAATCCACACTCCTCTAATTATACACGCGAAAGGTGTAGGAGAGTGCAGTTGAGATGGAACGAAACCGCGACGTGGAAGTCATGACTACTCGCGCCGTTCCATTTAGCTGTTTATGATCAACGAACAATTTACAAATCGAAGATTCATGACTCACCGAACAATTCCCTCTTTCTCTCGTCGCGTTTCTCTCGTTTACTGACACTAAACAGTTATTACTTTTCGTGACGTTTGTCTCTCTCTCTCTTCCCCTTTCTATCTCTGTCTCAAGCGAATCACCGTCGGAATGTAATTCGACGGGTGACTGCCTCCAAGGATCGCGCGCGTCGCGCGTTCGAGAGCAACGATGAGAAAACCCGTTAACTCGCCGCTGGCGAGTTTTGACGTACCCAATGTGAAAAAAAACGTACAGAGGCCGCGGGGACGGAGAAAAGAGCTTTTCCTCCCATAGAAAGGGTAGCCCGACGAAGCCCCGTTGACTGGCAGTTGGCACTGGGTGACGTCTACTTCCGTTCGCCATGTTGCGCCGGAAAGGTGCTGTCCCGTACGCGCTAACTTTAAATATCCTCTACCGAACGCGTCGCACTGCGCACTGTGTAGTTATACGTGTGTGCGTAATTTTTTCTCAATGAGATCATTCTCCTTTTTCTTCAGAAGACATTTCGTACAAATCGTTTTCGATATTATAATTGGAGGAAATTACCTTTTTGGTAAAGGTAAAGTTTAAAGTTAGACGATAAAAACATATCTGACATACGATTTCGCTGAGGGTTGTAATGTGGTTGAAGTATAAATTTTAACATCTCTGCTGATTGATTTTATTAATAAACGTGATGAGATACTTTTTGTTCGGATGGACTTATCAAATCATCCTCATATAATTACATATTTAATTCTACGCGTGTCACAAATTGTCACGACGAAGAAAATAAGTGTTTACAATTGCTTATTGTACTTTACAAGAACGTCAAATGTCTTATCTCGAAAATGTGTGTGTCTTTCGTTGCGAAATTCTTGTTGAAAAAATAATTTTCATTTCCTATTCCGCGCTTCGAAGGAAAGTGGCGTAGAGGATAAACGGAAAAGTTGTGTAGAAATTATTATGTCACTACAAAGTCTTACGTTGACAATTTTTGGAAACGAACCAATTGTTGTTCAACACATTCACTACCAGTGGCACATATTTGTGACGCGGTAATCTTCTACGAAAAATATGTTGTGTAGCATCAGTGCATCATACACGCGACAACGATCATTTTTTGCCTCTTTTATGTGCACACCAATAAAGCTTGTTATACAAAAGATAAAAGACTGTTTTGCGGGGACGATATCCCCAAATAATTCATCGTAGCGAATGTGTTAAACTACCAAAAATGCATAATTATCGTATCGTACAAGATTAATCAGTGCGCCTGTGTCCAACGACGTACATCATATTAAATAATTACAGAAACATCGCAAGTTAAAAGAAGAGAGAGAGAGAGAGAGAGAGAGAGAGAGAGAGAGAGAGAAAGAGAGAGAGAGAAAAAAGAAGAGAAAACATTTAACCAAAAAACATGTATCGCTACACATTCGAGTCTTTGCAACTTAATCGCTTGGCGAACATCAACGACGCGTTGAAAATTGCACAGACACTGCAATTTGCATTGCACATTCCATGATGTATCTTCTCCTCTTCAGAGAGAAAGAGACAAGCTATACACACACTTACGTTTCCGAGCCGTAAAGGATAAATACACGGTGCACAATTCATGTCGCGGCTTTCGCGCGCAGATGCCACTTCGAACTCGCGAAAGACAAGGTGTTCGCGCTTTTATCCGCACCGAATTTTGCTTCCGATGTACGGTCGTGAAAGAAAAAAAGAAGGGGGGGGCGGGGGCTTTCTCTAAACTGAATCCTGATTAGTCTTATTCGTTAGGGATGAAGTGGACCATGACGATGAAATTCCGCTCAATTTGCTGCGTGGTAGAGCGTACACTCTGCCGGGCGGACCTTGCGTGTTGTTATCTTCCTGCAAAGTAGGAGAAAGTACTTCAGAGTTATCACCGCGTTAGGGTGAGATGCGACGGCGCGATACGATGTATTATTTGCGACCGAGTAGCGAGAACAAAAATTTTTGAGGAGCACTTTCGGAGCGTCCAGAGCATCAATAGTGTAAGTCAAAAGTGCGAACATCATCGATACATCGATGCATCGGTGCGTAAACCATTGAACCATATATTATTCGTGATAATCGAATTGATTTTTAAGCAAGTTTCGCGTATACATGTTGGATTGGTGAGCATATCATCATGTCGATATGTCGCCTTGCATATATTGCATTACATTTTCAATTTGCACTATCAAGCGTTTGTGCAATAGACAGCCGACAGTTTATCGACGGCAACCAATCAACGAAAGATATTTTGACTCTTCTGACCACTTTCGGTTGCGCGATCAATTTTTCGTCGCTACCTTCGTACCGCTTTACTCGTCTTGCTTCGGCAGATCTCTATAATTGGAGGAAGAAAAAAAAACTTTATCGTAACTGATTTGTGCATTTTTTAACATTTCGGTAAATATTCCATTCCCATTGCATCGTAATAAACGAACAATCCTCGGAGAGAAAACAAATGCTGGAAATGATACTTTCGAAAAGTCACGACTCTGCGCATTTGCCTTTGGTTTCATTGGCGCGTCGTTGATACACGGTAACGTATTCATATAGTCCTCCAGTACGTCAAGTGGAACAGGAACGGGCGAGAAATTAACGGCACGGAAATGAAGTATAAATATATACGCGATTGTGCGTGCGTGAGTGCACGTGCACGTTCTTACGGTGTCCTCAAATTACATATTGAACTCCTGCTGTCTCAACTTGGCTGGGACTTACACCGATCCACTCTAGGCCTTCCATATGTCCGACGTAGCGTTAAACACGAGTCTGGGCATCACCTGCGCTTGCGAGTTCGTGTTCACGCTGGAACTCGAGGTGACGATGGTCGTGAAGGTCGGCTGCTGCGAGCACGTCCGCATATGCATCGGCCAATGCACTTGTTGGCAAGGATAGTCGCAATACGCGGTATTCCAGCAACAGTAGAACAGTGCCTCCTGTCCACACTTGGCACACCACTGCTTCCGCTTCGTCTCCTCGATACACCGTACCTTGTCCTCCTCGACCTCCCGGCGTGCCTCTTGAACCGATCGCAGTTTCTCCGCCTCCAGACTCGCTCGCATCTCGCGCATCGTACGATCTGAAATCGCGACGACACATCTTTGGAATCTCTCTCTATCGTCTTCTCTAATCGATCTAATTTCGCATCCATCGTTTACTTGTTACTTGTTATGCAAATGCCACGTGAAAGTGAACTTGGATCAAATAAACACGAATTTTTATGCCCGCTGAGAAAACAACAAAAATATTTTTCTTTACATCTTCCAGAAGGATCTTTCATCAATGCCAGCCACTGAAACGCTACCGAAAAGGGACTTGCAAAAAAATGCATACGACGTAAGCTACGTAAAACGGACACGTACCAGCGTTGTGTTTCAATTCAGCCATTTGTTGCTGATGCTGCCACTTCATATGCTCGATCTGCATACGTAGAAAGAATATGGTAGCCTGATAACTGTCGGCGTTGCCGTTCTCGCTGTTGCAGTTTTCCGCCTCGGCTGCTTCCTTGTACGCTTCTTCCATCAGCTGACCCATTCTACGTGCCAGCTCTTGCGCGCTGCGATGTAGACGTGCGCTGATCGGTCCGGCCTCCGGTGGCAGTAATTGATAAACGTTGGAGGAAGAGGAGGAGGAGGAAGAGGAGGAGGAGGAGGAGGAGGAAGAGGAGGAGGATGTGTTGGACTTGCCGATGGAAGGCTGAACTGGGAGCTCGGCCACAGTTGTCGCCAACGGGCGGGAACTGGTCTGCGCGGTGCCGCGCGATTTATTCGGGAAGGTCTTTTTCGCCTTACTCTCTTTCTTCTGCGGTGAACCGTCCTTCGCTTCCTTTGCTAACACGTCCTTGTTCTCCGGATGATCCCTCACTATCGTCGCGGTTTTCTCCGCCGTCGTGCCGCCGTTGTTCACCACAAGGAGCAGCAGGGGCTTCGAATCGGAGGAGGGTGTGAACGATACAGGTGCTTGAAGATTTGTCGACTGGATGACAGGTCGAGATTCTATCCTGGGGGAAGTCTTGACGCTCGGCGTAGCGGGCGGTGACAGCGTTATGTCGATTTCCGGTATCTTCTTGGCGCTTGTCGGGTCCTTCACCTTACCGCTGGCCGACAGCGACCTCTTGCTGGTAGCCGGTCCGCTCGCATTCGGCATTGTCGTTAGCCGATTGTTTTCCTTGCTCGCGAACACGGTGGACTTGAGCGCCTTCTCAGCGTTCAGTTTCTCGACCATCTGCTTCTTCGGCTTATATGTCTTGATTAATCCGCCTTTAGCATTCTTTTGCGTCGACTTGGGCATGTTCTGAACGGCCTCCCGCTTGGTGGCAGCGTTGGCATTTTTCGCGAGATTCTTCTTCTGCGCTCGCGTCATATCGGACAATCTGCGAATCGATTTGGGCAACTGCTCTCTCTGACTCTCAGCGACTGATTTCCTCTCGTTCTTCGCTTTCTGCGAATTACTTTTGTCCGATACAGTTCTATTAGGGCTCGATGCATTACCGTTTTCAGTGTCCTTCACCGGCGCCGTTTTAACTCTCTTTGCTCCATTCTTGGCGGTTTTGTTTTGAGCAACTAATATGACCTCTTGGTCTAACTTCTCGCTTAACTTATCGTGATCACTGCTTAAATTACTCTGAGAGTTCGTAATAACGTTAGCGTCAGCAGAATCTGATTTTTGTACTTTCCGCGTCGCAGCAGCCTCGTCCTCCTTCTCCCGGTTATCGTCGTTTACGGCCTCTTTCGTAGCACTCAGTTCCCCATTATTCTCATTCACCGAGCCGTCACTCTGCAACTTGTCCTTGTTCGGACTCCGTTTCCTCGGAGGTAATTTTTTTCTCGAGTCGTAAGATTCGGAATTTACGAGACGATTGCTGGGATCCGCAGGATTATAATTCGGTAGAATGAGCGTTATCTGCATCGGATCGTTTGGATTGTACTGCACCTTGGGCGGTGCAAATTTGAACAGACCGAACATGAGTTCGAGCTTTCGGCAGTGACGTGTAATCTCACGTACGCATTCGTCCATGTCTGATTTCCTTTTACGTGACGACGGTGCCGGTGGTTCTTCCGAATATAGATAGAGATCCTTTGGCGACACCCAGGCGCGATCGTGTTCGCCGAAAAAACGCACATCTACGAAACCCTGCGAATTCACACGCGGCATCGCCTTGGCCGGCCAGAATGGAAATCCTTTTAGTTTGGCCCAAACGAGCGGATGCGGTCGACGACAAGGTTCGATGAACCAGGCTGGTTGAGGCCGAGGCAGATTCCGGCCGTGCGCATAGCAATCAGGACACGCTTCAATCTCCGAGACTTCAGAGCGTGCCACTTTGATAATCTGTTTCGCAGAGTTTGTTAGTTTCGATGTATCTGCATAAACACCGCCGCCTGAAAGATTGTATATTGTTAGATGTTAGAATATAATATAAACCACAGTTTAAGATATCCATAAGACTGTAATAGAGTCGGAGATGAAAAAACTCGGAAAAGTCGTGCGTGATTAAACGCATGCCGACACTTATAGGCCGTCTTATTAAAATTATACAACGTCAATTCACATACACGTGTTGAAGACGATGCAATTGTGTTGGATCCACTTGGCATCGGCCATGAACGCATCCGTGCTGCCGTAGAGCTTAGACCGCACATTAGACTCCAAGAGGCTCAAATCCATCGGCTTGATGACGTAATCCAAATAATTCGGCACTTCGACAAGGTCCACCGGCTTGCAAAACGGTTCAGACTGCGTCAAAGGTACAACATAATATACATGAAAGAAATTAACTTTACGTAACATAACACGGTGCGAAAAAAGAAACATAGACACGTACACCAGGGTAATCGCGCAGTCTCTCGACCACATGCTTGAGCAACATACACAATTGATCCACAGACAATTGTGCCATGGCTGTTGAACGCGTCTCCGCATTCTCGGCCGTTAAGATGGTCGCGCATTCCCCACATATCCATTTCTGCGGAGACGGCGGCGTCCCACCTATGCATCTACGATGCCATGAGCGAGGACAGGCGGTACAGCAAACGTCCACGGACTCTTTGTGACACCGCCAACAGAATCTGTCGCTCGTGTTCTTCAACTTTTTCCTTTTGCTTCTCGTGCCGCTCTCCTCCCCGTGAGAATCCACCGACGAAATGCTACAACTGTTGACGCGTTTTTCATACATGTGTTACTCGCAACGTATGTGTGTGCATCATACTTGCCTTTGACTCTTTCGTTTTCGTTTCAAAGCAGTCCCGCCTCTCGTTAAGTCCTTATTGCCTTCGTCGTTGGATTCCTTCTTATCACCCGTATCTAATGATGTGGCCATACTTCCACTTTCTTGCTTCTCCATTTCCTTTTCCACATCTGGTTTCTGTTCCTCATTCTCATCCTGTTCGATCTTGTTCCTATCCTGATTCTTGTCCTCATCCTGATTCTTTTTCTCATCCTGTTCATTCTCATCAGTTTCCAGTGACCTTAACTTATGTTTGTTTTGATCTTCTATGTTATCAGTATCTTTCTTCTCTTCTGTTGCAATGTCCTGTTCTGTTATCGAATCTTTCTTCTCTTCTACAATAGCAACATTATTCGGCTTATTATCCTCATTGACTGGTGGAGTAACTGGTGAATCCCTTTCAACTGTTTTCAATTCGGATACAGTTGCATCTGTATTATCCGTTGTAGGAGACTTCAGAGAGTTCTCAGCTGGTTCATTGGACGCCATTTTATTTGTTACCTTTAGCACAAAGACTGTTTCAGTCAAATACACATATATCTGACACAATTAGTATTTCAAAATGGTAAACAATGACAGACATCTGGCACTGAAGGAGGAAAGCATTGGTGACACAGATGCATGTGTCTAGTCTAAATTCACATATATTACCTATTTATATAATCACATGATCAGAGATATCAATATTATATGCCTTGTACAACAGTTAAAATAATGAGTTACTTGAAGATATTACACTTGGGCAATATATTTATTTCAGTAACATTTGTACACAGAAGATAAGAGTAGTGTAACAGTATTATTGTTTAAATCTTCTGCTTGTGAAATTTCTTACAATGATAACACTTGCCGCTATAGTTAATTGTAAGTTTTATTAAGCAGACTACAATATATACCCAAAAAAACTTGTAACATACACTGTTGCAGCACATTATCAGCACTCCTACAGTGGTTATCTATCTATCTTTCTTTCTTTCTCTCTATCTCTCACTCTCTCTCTCTCTCTCTCTCTCTCTTTCTCTTAGAGCACCACGCTTGTTACTCGCGAAAGCATACGGGTGTACGCGAGTTATCGCTGACGGTGAGCATAAACAGCAGCAACAGCAGCATTACCTTATGAAGAACCCGACGTATGATGCACCTGCGTGCCTTATTACTCTGTACAGAACAGTGCCTCAAAACATCCTTAATCGCCGATCGCGTATCCTTTTCTCTCGACCTAACAGATCGCTAATGTTAATAAATACTGAACGACAGAATCGACGGTCAGTGAAATCGTATCACTTACTCGCGCGACTTCACGTCGGAGAGCCTTCCTCTTCTTCTTCGTACGATGTCAGCCTTGCCCGCTACCGGTGGTGTCATCTCTCGCCGATATTCTTCACGACGTAGCGATCACGTGGTACTTTAGCTCGCTGCGCTTCTGACTATCGATAAGAAGGAGATGGAATTATTATGACAATTGTAAACATCGCGATTCAATTTTGCAGCGACAAGTGACGAACACCTATACGTAAATTTATCGTAATCGGATCCTCTTCTCTTCTCTCACCCGCGCTTCTTCCAACTTCCTTTTTAATCCTCTTTTCCTTCCTAATATACGCGTCAAACTCACTCTTACGACACATCGAGAAAGTTCAAACGTAACGCGGCTGAAGAGAGAAGAGATCCATTGCTTACTATTTCTAGAGATAACGTCGTTTCGTTCCTACTCCGGTCACCGTGGAGAAAGCTTCTGCGACGACTGCGACACGTCCTACGAAAGGCGTGACGAAAGATGAGGTTAGACCGGCTTCCGTTGTTTATTGCACGCTGCTCTGTTTTGTTCTTTCCTGTGAAAAGCAGTAACAATCCGCTCGTCGCAAAGGTTGTCATCCTCGAGAGCGTCATGCGACACGCGGAAATTCGTCCCGACTGCCAGAATTCGTCCCAATTATCCTCTTAACGACGCTCCGTTATGTCCTATTCGGTTGTAATGACGTAAGCTTGTGCGCGTGTAAATTGCGCAACTCCTCCCCCGATATCGATATCGAGTCGCGTAATGAGAGATCGTTCCTTTATACGTTTGCACAAATGGGTCGAGAGTCATTACACCGTTTCGCCCTTATTTAACAGGTTATGTGGTCCCGGTCACGTGGTGCACGAACCATAACCGCCCTCTTTCTTTCCACCCTCCCTCTCTGCTCCCCCGCCCTTGTCGCTTGCGGTGTTACGGAGAATATCGTAGCAGAGATAGTACAGAGTGCAGACGGATTGATGTGGCGGATTATGGATCGCGTAGATAGTAAACACTCGTACAACAGCTGTACTTTTATCTAGTCCGATTAAGATAAATGACGAGTATCGCAAATGAGGCTGTCGCGCGCTCAAGATTATCTACTAAAAAGTAGTTGATGTCGCAGATAAATCAAATTGGATCTCAAGGAGAAATTATGCTCGGGAACCATATCGTGTGACAGTGCTCGCTTAGGTTATGTTGTGCTGTCAAAGTGTTTATAGCATCACGAAAAACTCGTCGTATATTGCATATTCTGCGCATTCTCTGCGACCGTAAAGAACAGTCGAGGCCACGATGGGCGACCATATCGGCGATAACATACTAATTCCGCAAGTCGATAATGTCATGTTAATTGACAAGAGTGACGGCAGTAACAAGAGTATGGATGGAACACTGTGTATCAGCGGTCACCATCTTATTTTATCTTCCAGACAAAACGACGGCCAGGAGCTTTGGGTAGGCACGCTTGAGTAACCCGACATACGCGCACACAATGTTGACTCGATTGACAATTTTACAGCGACCTTTCTCTTTCTTCATACAGCTGATGAACCGAAACATCGACGTCGTGGAGAAGAAATTGAACACTCAGAGCGCCGGAGGTAGCATAATATTAAAATGCAAGGACTTTCAGATCCTCCAGTTAGACATTAATTCCACCAATGACTTAACCAATGCTGTGTTATCCATAGAGAAGCTGATATCGCTTGGTAAACTAATCGAGCAATCTCAAATATCATCTTGATGACATATGAGTTGTTCCTGATTTATTCTTGCAGATCAAACTCTACAATATCCATTCTTCTATCGACCACAGGCCTCCAACAACACCATCGTACAAATAGAAGATGGATGGACAGCGTTCGCGCCTGTCTCCGAATGGTCTATATTATTGGCGACACACGCGGACGAGTGGCGCATCAGTTACTTAAACAGAGATTACAAAGTTTGTAACTCATACCCATCGGCCGTAATAGTGCCGCGTCAAATAGACGACAAAGTTATAGTAGCTTCCGCCAGCTTTAGAGACGGTGGCAGGTTTCCTGTTTTATGCTACAGATACGAAAGCGGGGTAAATGATAAATTTTACACGCATATCACGAGAATCAACGATGCGACTGACGTTTACTCGAGTCCTGGCGATTCATTACAGAGCATATTGTTGAGAAGCAGCCAACCACTGTGTAGTGCTACTGGTAAAAGGTGCAAAGAAGATGAAAGACTGTTAAACGCGGTTCTGGGTCCCGGTAGACGTGGGTGCGTATGACGCGCTCATACCACGTGTGTTTATCAGTGTCACTGCAATTACTGCATTCTATCGGCAGGTACATAGTAGACACCAGGTCAGTTAATCAGGCGATAAGCGCTAAGGCCCGAGGTGGAGGTACGGAAATGGACACGGCTTACCCGCAGTGGCGCAAAGTACACAAGCCAATTCCTCGACCGCACGACTTGGCGGATGGTTTCTTCAAGTTGATAGACGCTTGCAACGACGTGAACAGTTCGACCTCGCAGTGGCTGTCAAAGTTGGATAGTAGCGGCTGGCTGTCCGCAGTGCAAAGCGCTTTGGACGCTGCTTGCGTCACCGCGCAGTGCCTGCATCAAGAAGTCGCGGCTGTGTTGGTGCACGGTACGCGCGTATCAACTATCACTTTTTTTTTTTTAGAAATCCGCATGCTACCTGATGAGAATTTATGCGAGAGTGTCCGGGTTCCTCGAAATATGCAGCAGCGTCGTGACGATATCGAGGATAATTCTCTGAATTACAGGCAGCGCAGGCAGAGATTCTACATTGGTGGTGACCAGCTTGGCCCAGGCGATACTGAATCCCGATTGTCGAACTGTACGGGGACTTCAGGCGCTGATAGAGCGCGAATGGCTGCAGGCAGGTCATCAATTTTTCAGCCGGACTCGTTCCGGAGCCTATCAGCCGTCGCACTCGCAGAATCCGACACACGCTCCGACTTTTCTCCTCTTCCTCGACTGCCTGTATCAATTACATCATCAGTTTCAATTCAGTTTCGAATACACGGTGGAGCTGCTCATAGAATTGTACAAACATGCCTACTCCTCGAACTACGGTACATTCTTAGGTACGTGGAATATTCTTGATGATCACGAGAGATACGTTCTCATGCATGTCGCTGCTACGTATTGCCTACGTTGATTGCTGCGTGTGTCTCATCAGGCGATTCGGAAGCTGAGAGGATCAAACTGCGACTGTCCGAGCGAACTTACAGCCTATGGTCGTATATGAATCAGCCGGACGTTCTGGAACAGTGGATAAATCCCTTGTACGAGCCAAATCCGGGAGTGATCTGGCCGAGCGTCGCACCCATCAGCATACAGCTGTGGCGGGAACTCTACCTCGCACATACGAGCGCCGCTCCGTGGAATGGCTTGCTCGCCTACGCCAAGCAGATCAAGCAGAATCACATCGCGGTGCGCAAAGTGGCCGGGCAGCTGCAGGCTCAGATCAAGCAAGCCTTGGAGGAGATCCGGTCGGATTCGGACATGT